TATCGCTGCTTGGCCTCGCATCACGTATACGCACTGTCGGCTTTTGTGCGCAGTCTGCAGTTGTAATGTAATTTCCGTTCTGCATTTCCGCCGGCCGCTGATCCGAAAGAGCCGCAAATTGTGCGTAATTTTATTTATTTATCGCAGCAGTTTGCCTTGCATTCGTCGCTGCCTCATTGGGCGGCAGTTAATTTCCGCAGCACACACGCAGTAGCGGCTGCTGCAGTGGCTTCTGCAGTTGCGGTTCTCATTGTTCGCTTAATCCCCATGATTGTCGGCCCTCGATTCTGGCAATCCGATTCAACTGCAATTCGCTAATACTTATTTAATAATGATTGAATAAGAAAATATTCGCAACGCCATTGGGCTTTTCATATGTGAAAATATTCATACATTTCTTTGATGCAAATTTCGCATATTTGAAGTTTTATTAAAATTCTGATGAATATATTTGTCCCTTAGAGTTCTTATTTGAACTGCCATACAAAATTTACTATACAGGGGTGCCACAAAAATCTTCAGAGATTTAAAATCCATTTAGTAGTTGTCTAAAAGTATGCAACAAAATATTCAAGGTGCCAAATGCAGTGTAAACTAAAGGGAACAAGGCATTAGTCAAAATAGAATCTTAATTATTTTTTAAATAAAAAAAAGACTATTTAACAATTGATTTAATATTTTGAAAAACTTTAGAGTTATTTTAAGGACTTTGTGATTTTTGTAACATTTCATAATCTTGGAATATCTTCTATATTTTAATTGGACAAGGAAGTAAACACTACCTGTTCTCGATTTTATCATTCCATTTTGATTGTCAACTTAAGAAATTTTACTAAACTCACCAACATAATTTTATTTTTCAGTAATTTAATTTCCAAATCAGTTGAAAAACACCTTCCTCTAGTTTCCATTGATTTCCTGCAAAGCCTAAAAGTATGCCACGACAATTTAAACAGCAATCCAAATACGAAACACTTTCCCAGAATCCGCCGCCTTTCCAAGCTCTTCAAATTTGATGCTGGGAATGAAAGCGCGCTCAATCGCTTACCTGTATCCTTTCTCCATAATTCCCCCCTTTTAGCGTTGTCCTGATTCAGCTCGAAGCGAAATTGGCTTCAATTATGCGACAGAATTATGAAATTACAAAAATTGCGAAAGTAAGTAGCTGCCGTTGCTTTTCGCTTCAGCGAAATGTAATTGCGGCAATTTGCAGTTGCAGGCAGCGTTACCAGTCGGCTAATAACGTTTATTAAAACCACAACAACATTGCTGAGAACCCAGGACTCCCACTCCCCACCAGCCTTCGTCCTTCTCAGCCTGCCAGTCATTAACAATAAGCCGAATGGAGAGGGATATTCTGCCAGAGAGAGAGAGAGAGAAGCAGTCGGCAACGTTGTGCAAATTATGCAAATCCTTGTGAAGCACATTAATGCGCACAATGACAATTAATCGCTGCAAATTAAAATGATGACAATGTGCACTGGCTTTTTCCCATATGCACATATCCCCCGGGGCCGGATTAGGCATGAAAACGAAACGAGAGTTAAATTTAAATCATAATTATTTATGGCTAAGCCGGCGGAGGCGGATAGTTAACATTGTGTTCCCCGTTCAGCCGCCCCACATCGCGTTCCCCCTGTTCCTGTCGCCGCTCCTGGTGCCGCCCATCCAGGCCCACTCCCAGTCTCTCGATGAACTTGGCCGAGCGGAAGCCATTCTTCTGTGAAGGAAATTTAAAATTATTTTTTAATTAATGAGGATATTATTTATATTACCTCATAGTACAAGGACCTCGCTCGCTTGGCCGCCTCGGGATCAAAGTCCCAATTTGTTCGTTCGTGTAGGATGGGCTCGCCAGCCACATTGTTCTGCAGGGTCTCGGTTATAAGACGTATGATAAAGCCCTCGGCTGGTTGACTGACCTGAAGAACTAGGATCAGCACCAAAGGCAGCTAAAGAGAAAAATGTATTAAGAAAAATATATATAATAGAGGTGTAAAATAATCATTAATCAATTTAAAAACAAGTGAAAATTTGTCCTTAAAGATACATTTAAATAAACGCCACAATAATATAAGTAATAGATTGACCTTTAATTTAAAGAAAATTTCTAAAAGCTAATTATCAAGAAAAAATAAAGAAAAGCCCAAAAAAAACAAATTGAAGCTGTCTTTAAATTGTTGAACACCGGAAAACATTTAATTTGTTTATTTATTTTTCTGAATCCCAGCCAAAAACATGTACAAGCTTAGAAAATAAATATATTATCGATAACTAAAGCTATTTCAAAATATTTATAAACTCCAAATGAATATTCCAGCCGCTGTTGCCGGCAAAGCTTACTATTTCACTAACTAAAGAAATTGCGCAAGAAATTTATCAATCGACGTGTATTACTCATACGCCCCGCTTGACACACTCCGCCACAAGCAATCACTCCATCTAAGCCTTCCTGGCCGCGTTTTTTTAAGCACTTCACTTAACCACTTCATTTATGGCTTATTTACTTCGTTTAAATCACATTTCGGTTCACTTACAGAGACCATAAAGACCTGTCTCAGGCGTAACATTGTCTCGAAGCGCGTTTTACTTTCAGGTGGAGCGCCGGCCGTCCCAGTCACTGGACCATTGATCACTGAAGACTGCGGATCGCAGAAATCGTGCGGTTGCATAAAACGCAGCCAAGCGCCAGCTGGAAAAATATTGAAAATAAAAATCAACACAAAAGCAGCAACAAAATATGGCAAAACAAACAAATTTGAGAAGTTACACAGCCAAAACTTAAGCTGAAGAGTGAGAAACTGAGAAGCAGAGAAACGGAAAGAGACAGAGAGCGAGAAGAGCAAAGAAACAATTTGGGCTTACAAATCTTTAACGGATTTGAAAAGCGAATTGGTTAGGCACTGAGAGAAATCATGAACAAATGGTTTTTTTCTTTTAATAATATTTTGTATTGTTATTAAAATTATAGGGGAGGTTCGATAGAATTCAATAAAGCTTTAGACATACATATATGTATAAAAATAATTTCAAAAAATTAATAATGTTAGATCGTTAAAAACAAAAAACAAGTTTACGCCGACTTTGGTACCTTACACATTTTATTGCATACTTTTAGACACTTTTTTAAGAGGTTTGAAAGTTAGTTTCTTATAAAACTCCTGTATATTTATGTTTTATTATGAAAGTCTTTATTAATATATTATTAAATTGCTTTATATAACATATTTCTCTCTACATTTTATACAATTCTTTATATACATTTACTATAAATAAGAATATTAAGGTTAAAAATTAAAAGAAATTATTTATAACATTTGCACCCTTAAATAAAAAATATCTACTTGATTTTCTTTGTGCACTGACAGTTTTAAGTCTTCATTTTGGGGCCTATTAATGGAATATGATCTCCGAACTGTGACTTTGCTCGCGACCTTCGAGCAGGTACTTCAAAGCCCAGGCTTGCTTGGCTTTATGAACTGTTTTATTTTTTGCTTTTTAAATTTTAATTTTATGACAACCCAAATTGGTTTTCATGGCAGACGGAACTAAGTACGCATATTTGCCAAAGGTTACTGCTCCGTCCGTTTGCGCCAAAAGCAAACAAAACAAATAAAAAAACAAAGTGGAAATGAATGTTAAACAGAAATAGAAACCCAAGGAAAAATGCGAATGCAAATGCAAGCCAAAGAAAGTGCCCGGGAGCCGAGAAGAAATGGCACAGAGCCGCAAACTGAAGAAAGCAAAAACTGGTTGCCAGCCATTGGACCGACTGTAGGTGTTGATACGGCTGGGGCTCTCGACTCTTTATGGTTGCAGAAGTTACATAATTGTCCATCGAGATGACGATCAGAGGCGGCGGCTTCATCCATCCAGTTGGTCCACAACCACTTTGGTGACTTGGTAACTTGGCCCCAATTCCAATTTTTTTTTGCCCACATCGAACAGCTGTCTCGGCAGACTGGGACTTCCTATTTATCTCTTACGATCCTGGTCTGGCTCTCTGGCTGCTAACCTCTCTCTTCAAGATCGGAAAAAGAGCCTACGTGAGTCGGATCATGCTGTTTTTTATTGGATATACTGCCTTTTGTTTATTTACATAAATTTCCGGCAGCCCAAGTGCATGCGGAAAGAGCTCTAAGTTTTTTCTTTCAGGACTTTCACTTTCTTTGAGAGTTGCAAGATCTTGAGGATCATTAGATTAAGTAAACAATATAATTAAGAAACTATAAATTATAATTTAAATTATAAAATACAGCCATTGAGTAAAATTAATAAAGTAATGATAAAACATCTGAATTATTTTTAGGTAATAAGACTAAAAATTGCTAGAATAAGTAATATTTTTATATTTTTTGACTAGTGCAATAAATATAAGGTAACCCTTGTTGCCTTATAAAAAAAATTAAATTAAAATTTAGTTATAAGAGCTAAGAGAAAATAAAAAATATATATTTACCGTAAATATTTATGATTTTTAAAAATATAGTACCTATTGGTTTTTTGTCATAGTTTCTTGAGAACCTAAAAGTCTTTCCGTAAATTGTTATTTAACACGTTTTGAATTAAATTGATATCTTAAAAATTTTTAATAAATACAAATGCTTATAGTTAATATGAACATAAATAAACCCACTACAACAATTAAGTTTTTGGAATACTTTCAGGTAAAATTGTATCAATAAAAGTACTTCTGGGCTTGATGTTACTTAAATAACAAATAAAAATATTTTTAAAATATTATTGAGTTTTACAAATAAAGTTTTCAAAATATAAATGCATTTTCTTAACCATTTCCAGACTCAGTACCAACACCAAGTAATGCAATCTATAGCAACTGAGACCCTCAGAGACTCTGAAACTGAGAGCCTAACTTAAAGACCAACTTAAGCTTGACTTTCGAAGCTCCAACGCTCTTCGACAAGCTTTCCGGCTCTCTTTACGGCCTGGCCTCTTGGCCACCTTTCGTCTGGCAGTGCAATTCAGTTGCCAAACAAAACGCGATCGGCGAACATCTGCGTGCCGCTACGCCTGCGTTCGGGACACTATACACGTACTATAACTGATTATACCCTCGGATTGGAACAGCCATGGCTAGGTTGAACGCTCTGCTGCTGCCCGTAAGTTAGATTTCCACCGCCACCAGGGTTTACTTCCCCAATTAGCACATCCCACATGGCAGACCCGCTGACACCATTTCCGCTGCGCCTGCGCGAAAGTCGGCACTGAGCCACCAAAAGAAAACCGTCGTCGTTGTAGGAAATTGTGACTTGAATTTCCAATGAGCACTTGGGCGTTCTTCTTTCGAAATTCGTGTGCCAGACGGACGGACGACTGACACATTTCCAAATCACACACAAACATATGTGGGCCAAATTCGAAGGCTCTCTCCAGGAGAGACCTTGAAAGCCGCGATCGCCAGCGCGCACTCCCTCTCTTTAAGCCAAGTTGAAAGCCAAGCGAAATGTGTCATAATCTCTAAGCAACAAGTTGTGGCCAAGTTGCGCATTGTTGTATTGTTGTTGTCGCTGGTTGCATAACCGGCGTCATCAACCGTTGCCTCGTAGTTGGCCAGTAGTAGTAGTTGCTGCTGCGAGTTGCTTAAAAGCCACTGAAAGCGATTTCTTGGACAACCACTCGCAATTGCCAGTACACTTTACACTTTAAGTGGCTGACATAGTGAGCCAATGCGAGTATCTTGAAGTTTGACTTCCCCGATTTGAGCTTTCCGTAACCGAATTTTATGAGATTCAAACTACTTTCTCGAAACTACATAAGCTGTTAATTGGAGAAATTAAAATGATAAAATCGGGAAGTGTTAACCTTTACACTTTAACTTGTTTCCTTCACTTACATATTGATTTCTTTCAAGAATCTGCATTTAAGGGTTTTAGTCATTTCCTTTGTATTACTTTTTCACCTCTTAATAATATATTTTTTCCTTTGGTTTTTATTAATTTATTTATTATGTTTACTTCCCATTAAATTTAAAGCATTCCTGAAGTAACTTATTAATTTGTTTTATTTTTCAGCTTATTCTATTCATTATTGCCTTTGTGGTGCACACATCTCTGGCCACTGTTCAGCCAAAGGCGCCAAATTTCCAGTACTTCGAAAGGTAAGTTTGAAATATATTATTTTATAATTATATATATTCTATATAAATTTTCACATTATAATCTTTATCTTTATACAGGCCCAAATACCGCTATCCCTACTACGATGAACATGGGCGTGGAAAACTCCTTTACGGCTATGGAGGCCCGGAATTGTATCAGTACAAGACCTACACACCTCTGGAGGGCATTCACTGAGTCCATTAATACATAATGTAATACCTAGTTGCATTGTAGTTCATAATTTATATGCTCCGCTTTATTTATTTCATGTCTTGGCTTTGGCCAAATGTATTTAGTCTATTGCGGTAGTAAACATATACATATACACATTAAACAATTTTTTTAATAAGCTAAAAATATGTTTATACAATTATGGGATAACCAAAAGTAGTATTTAAACAAGACGAACTTTATATACATTTCGGGACAAAAATTGAATATGTTTATATAACATTTTAAAACTTTGTTATTTAATTTAAGAAAAAGGAATAAGCGGTGTTTTACAAAATTATTTATCATCAAGCTACAACAAAAATTGAATTACAGGGAATTAGTTTTAATAAACATTTAAATATAGCGCGAAATGAATAGTGTGCTCGTCTGCTAATTTGGGTACAATGCTAAATTTGGTTAGATAGACAAAGACATTTCTCATTCACGACTGCTGGTCACACTGCTCCTCCCAGACTGTTCTACGAATATAACAGTTTTTACTATTCTTTTCAACAAGCAGCTGTTTAAATCTCACTTTTAAAGTAATTATTTGACTTATTTTTTCACTTTCCACGTAAGTTCAGAAGTACAATCCACGTTGCTTTGAAATTCAGAGTGACCAAGGAAAAAATACCAACAAAATATAGCGATTTCGATATTTGGGCAAAAAATTCCACGATATATGAAAAAATATCGATATATTGATATTTCGATATATTGTCAACAACCCTACAAAATTATTAAAATTCTCGAAACGCTTGAAAATAACAAGATTTCCCCGCAAATATGTCTCGCAAGGAAGCCCTCTCACAGTTCATCAACCAAATTCACGGCCGCCCCGTTGCCGTCAAGCTGAACAACGGCGTGGACTACCGAGGTGAGGCCTCAGAGTTGGAGTAAACAAAAAAGCCGGTTAACGCACGTTTGCCTCTTCCCCCGCAGGTGTCTTGGCGTGCCTGGACGGCTACATGAACATTTGCCTGGAGCAGACGGAGGAGTATGTCAACGGGCAGCTGAAGAACAAATACGGCGACGCCTTCATCCGCGGCAACAATGTGTTGTACATCTCCACGCAGAAGCGGCGAGTCTGAAGTCCTAGAGCTTAAGTTTTTACCCTAAAAATACAACAGTTTCCACAAAAACACAGCTCTTATAAGCATATCCACAGGGTTTAGCTTAGTTAATCGTTTTTCCTAAGTTTATTCCATAAATTAGTTATAGCTACTGAATCCTCATCAATCCCCCTCAGCTGGGATAGTGAGCCGTGCCAAACTCCTGCGGAATGGCTCCAAAATGCCGCAGCTGGCGGATGGAGTATCCAGAGCCCAGGGCTGCGATGAGGCGCTCACCACGATGACCAAACTTCCGCTCGTAGACCGGACGCCAGGCACGACCAAAGTGCGGATCGAAGGGAATCTCACTGGGCTGCTGGAACGGCGAGTTGCCGAAGAACAAGCGGTCCAGGTAGTCCAGCACCGCCTTCTTCTTTTGAAAGTGCTCTAGAAACGGGTTGGCGGTGGCAGCAGTGCGCGGATCCTGGGAAGGCAGGTTCTTGAAGTACTGGAAGTTGACCAGGTCCACATTGGAGAAGTCAAAGTCAAAGACCCCGGGCAGGTCGTGGAGCGTGGCCAGCACGAAGCGGTCCGTGGAGCACTATGAGTGTGTGTGGTGCAGCCAAGGGCAATGTTAATGCGGTGATTAGTGGTTAATTGAACGCCCGCTTACCATTACGGCCAGTGCAGCAATTAAGACGTATTTGCGCATTGCAAGTGGACGAGGATCGGAGCAGAGACGACACCTATACGCTTCCCCACGCGGAATCAAACTGATTTGAATAAATTCGGCCAACAACTGCAGCGCGTCCGGCTGCCCAGCGGCGATTTGCAATCGGTCCGCAGGTATTCTGTTGTAATATCCCCTGACTGATGGGTTGCCCAATTCCGCATGAATCGGTGTCCACCGCGGTCCAGCCAAATGTAACAGTCGTCGCAGCACTCTGTCGCGGGTAATTAATTGATATGCGTGGCGCATCAAGGGGCGTTCCAATCAAAGCGCTCGCCGTCGTCACCAACGCACTATGGGGTTTTTGACCAGTTTTTGTGGCATTAATTAATAACTCGGTCAGTTTTGGAGATATCGACATAAAACTTTACCAATCATCATTATTTGTCCCTAGGCACATATAGTATGAAAATCGTTCGGATCAGGAAACTATATCCTATAGCTCCCATAGAAACGATCAGGTAAATCTTAAGATAAATTAATGAAATTTAAGGAGCTTATATTTGTTGCTATTTTAACACGATATAGCAATTTTGAACAAAATCGGACAACGCTTTCCCTAAGAACTAAAATAACCAAAATACCGGAATTCAGTGTTTTCCCATACAAACAGCTACCAAATTGGCGCTGAAAACAGTGAGGTTATCTGAGAAAAATTCAAATTGCAACAAAAGTGCGAAAAAGTGCACGATAAGACTAACTGCTTTTTGCTCAGAATTGACAACGCTACAACATACACTTGGACGCATTGAAAACTAATGCGAACTTCTATTTCAAAACTCTTCCCAAAGTTTAAATTTGTTTCTCAAAATTCAGCTTAAGGTGCATTTATAAAATGACAAAATGTCAGTATAAACACGCACAATTTAAACAATTAATACCTGTAACATGTAGTTAAAACCTGTGAAATCAGTGTCCATTAGTTTTTTCCTTTGCAAATTGTGTCTTACACGAATAGTTTAATTTCAAAGATCACTTCGTAAAAATTACAAACTTAGCAGACGTGCTTTCGGATGCAACAGCTGACTTTACAGCTCTGTTGCTAACATATGCTGTTAAGTATTAACATTTTGAGTATGAGGCATAATAGTTCGATGTTTTGTTAATACAATCCCACTATTTTTTTCTAAATTAAAGAACTTTTAAAAAATGACTAAATGCCACAAAAAGTGGTCAAAAACCCCATAGTGCAACGGTCGGGCACCGCTGATCGCGGGCGATGAATGCATTATGATATCTGGGATCTTGATGGGACCGCTTTTGTTTAGACAACCTGCGGCCGCTGCATCTTACCGCACCACTATTATTGATTGAAATTAGTGCAGCATAGTTTGTGTGGCTTGTTTACTTTTATTTATTTCATTTTATTTAAATCAAAAAGAGTACAAATTTGTAAAATAGGGAGGGGTTTTATTGTTTACTTTTATTTATATCAAACGTCTTTAGTTTTTCAATAACTGAAACTTTTTTATAAATTTAATATTGATGTTGAATATCGAAAAATTGATGATTCTACTCTTCAGTTGTCTTATAATGGAACACTTTATATTACGTTGGACGACCAAATTTGAAAAAAACGTCGAACCAAGAGCCGGAATATATGTATCTTTCCGAATTTTTTGGATGCGCTGCACTCGAGTCTCAGAAAATTACAGGTTTTTTAGATATTCCATCTTAAAAGTGCAAAAAATACGGGTTTTGAATGATACGGGATTTGAGGTGATTAGATTTATACTTTTTTAGGTACTGTTAAAGCCACAATACACCAAACCTATACAGTCAACACTTATCACAATTCTAAGTCTATAGATCCTGCAAAATGGTGGTGATTCCTATATCATAGAAATTCAAGTAAGATGCCTCTAATTGGTTTCTATAATAAGGATTCTTTATGAAATTCATTAATATATTTTTTATATTTATAATGATTGAGACCAATGTCATTTTGATCTATTACAGTGGATCCTATTATTATAAATATAAGTAATGTATATACAAATAAAATTTTAATTTAATTTTGACTACAACTCTGTTAGGTATTATTTTACACCCCACAAACAATACATACTCTGGATCAAAGTCACCAGTCCAGTCGATATAGACATCATTGCACTCCCCACTCGTCTCCCGAACAAACTGAAACTTTGTTAGTCTTTTGGGAGGCCCATGCTGTTTCCTATATCCAATCGATATGCAAATGGCAACCGTAACCTGGTGCGTAGCCGTAACCGATTGCCAAATTTCTATAGAAACTGAAACAAACAAAGTCATCGAAATGGCAGACAAGACACTTCCCGGTCCTTGCCCATGCGATTACGTAAAATAAGGTTTCAGTGTGCTTCGATTCTGTGAATTACGCACTCGGCCAGACACTTTTCAGGCTACTGTCAGGGAACCAAGTAAAAAACAACAAACCGTTTCACTTGGAAAACGGATTTAAAAACTCGAAATAATACCTAGAGAGAGATCTCTGAGACACAAGAGGAACTCACGCGCAAGGAAGACCAGGAGCTGCAGGAACGATGTCACAGAAACCGGGAAAGGGCGATGGCAAGCAGGTTAAACCGAAGGTAACTATCCAAGCTACACAACTCCTTTGACGGACTCTTGCACACGTAACGCTTAACTCTGGCTGGTCACACATCCTTTCGCCTCGGTGGCTGGCAGCGTAATGCCAATGCGAGGTCCTTGCTGCGGCACATGTCTATTTCTGTGCTTAAAAATTTTTTGCGCTTATTTGCGCTTACTTTTTAATAAGTTTGGCTGAAAGCTTGGCTCCGTCAGGCAGTTTTCCTTGATGGAACTTTGTCACGAAACATAATTTGCAATTTCCTGCCCAATCCGCCCGAGGATGTGGAGGTGGGCATGACCCAATGGCCACCATGTGCGTGCCAAGCAGGTAAGGAAAATCGGAGCTCGAAGCTGGCGGAAAATCAGAGCGATCGGAGCGGTGCAATTTGGTTACAGCTACCAATTTATTTGGCCTGGCTCTAGCCGGGCTGGTGAGTGTCGAAGCCTCATCAGGCCCAACGCAATAAAAGAGTCGATAAATCACTCACGAATACGACCCTAGGCTCACCTTATTCATTTAGATGGCCATCAAAATAAATATGTATTTATGAAAGAGCCCATCTCGGAGGCAGTCAGGGTCGGTGTCGCTGTTATCCCCCGTTTCCCCCATTCCAGGACTAGCTAATCGAGTTGTCTGCAATTTGTTTTTACTCCGCCTCATCCTTTTGTGACGTCAGGCCAGAAAGTTTTTCGCCTTTTCGCCATTTCCTGGCTGAAGAGCCCGCTGACATGGCGAACGTCATCGGGGCTGTCTTGGTTCTTTCCGACTCTTGGGCTCAGTCTTGGTTCGTCACTCTCGCCGGACGCATTTGTCGGATTCCTGCCAAGCAACCGGTAGCCCTTCTTTGAATTCGAGTTTCTGTTTGCTCGAGTATTTCTTCTTGTTGTGACCCAAGTTCCCTGATTTTCGGCCAGGATGTGGAAGCTAGCCAACAAGGCCATGGCGGTATTTGACCTTTAGATTGCATCTCCACTAGCCACTCTTAGCTGATCCAACTGCGTAGAACTGTGTGCGTGAGAGTGTGAGGGCGGTGCGTTTCAAAACCTCAGCAAAAACATTTTGAGATCGAAACAAAACATTTACTTATTATGATGTTTTTCACCAAAATAATAAAAAATCGCGTTTCCCATTAGAATATTTCGAAATATGTTTTAGAATATGCTGTTTTCTTAAAAATTAAATCAATTGGAATACCTCTCAATGTGACTATATTGAAAACAATAGTTAAAAAAAAGTTTTAATGTTATTTCCACGTTTGACATTTTTATAGAAATGACCATATAGAGAATTAACTTTTCCTATTAATAAGGAAGGCCCTATTTCTTCGAGTCCAATCATATTTATATAATTTAAGGATGAGTCTTGAACAAGGTTTATTTTTCTTTTACACTGATCCTGTAAAGACAGGACATATGAACTGCACTGTAAATAAGTTCACTTTTAAATCAGAAAAATCTCTAAACTCGCATCTGGGAGTTTTGGAACGCACTGTGACCTAGGGATCTATAAATACCACGAGTGCCTGATTGTATCTAATGTAAAATAATCAATATATTTCTCCATCTACAACCTGTAAATACCATGTACATACAATCCGTAGTTGTTTCTTCAAATATTTAAAACCCAACTCGTAGTTGTAGCTTAGTAGGACAGATCGCTCCCATTTCAATTCACATTAAGTCTAGTTAGCAACGCCATGTCAGAGGTGTCCAGTGCTCAAGGACCCACGGGCGATCTTGCGGAGGAGCTAGCCAGCGACTGCGGCAGCGACGGCGATGAGGTAACGCCTCCTTGGGGTCAAGCCATACTTTTCATACGATTTTCGGATGTTTCTCCTTTCAAGTCGCATGCCGCAAACAGCATACCGCTTGGTTTCCCCTTATCATGATTCCTCTCTCACCTGACCCACTTCCAGCTAGACCCTGCACCCAGGGATTAAGGCCAGGTAAGTGCCTGCACTTCCACACCCCTTCCCAGCTTGGTTTCTTTCTTGGCACCTTCAGTGGAATATTGCATGCACCACACTCCCCGACTTACACTATGAGTCACAAATCCAGTGAGTTTGTCATGCTGTTGATCCAATTCCCCCAGATGAGGAGCTCCAAGACAAAGACCGAGGGGGGCGGAGGCGGTGGCGGCGATGCCGATGACTTCGATGCCTGGATGAAGTCCCGCCAGCTCCTCAAGCCGGACGACCAGCTTGAACTCACGGAGGCAGAGCTCGGCGAGGAGATCACCAAGGTGCTGACGCCCACCAACACGAATGTCATCCGCAACCTCGTCGTGTACAGCTTTAAGGAGGGGGAGTTTGTCCCGGCTCCGCAGCCGGGCAACACCGTCACTCTGATAGCCTTCACCGGCAATTCACTGCACGTGGACTCGGAGGAGGCGCGCCGCCAGATCGAGGAGTCGGACGAGATAGCCTACCCGCTGCCCATGCCCAACTACACGGTGGTGGAGCAGCGTGAACCAGAGGCCGGAGAGGGTGAGGAGGGAGAGGACGAGGAGGACGAAGATGACCGCGGGTAAGACATAGTACAAGCTGGCAGCAACCTTGAATCTTATTATAAAAATAAAATGTATTCATCAAGTGGTAAGGATGCAGCCCCAGACGAAGAGGAGGTCGAGGAAGAAGATGATGAGGAGGGTAAGGGTACCGAGGGCGATGAGGGCGAAGGCGAAGGTGACGGCGGCGAAGCCCGCGACGAAGACGCTGCTGGGGCTCAGCGCGCACCAGGTGCTTCATCTAAGAAACGGAAGCTAATTAATCAGTTCAACTACTGCGAACGGGCTGCTCTTACCTATACCAACCCGAAGAGGGTATGTACACAGATAATAGAATAATAAGATGCATAACTCCCGTAGATATGCAAGTAATTTTCCAGCTAATTTTAATTTCATGATTGTGCCGCTATAATCACTTTTTCCAGAGCGTGGACACCCAAACGATTCCCCCGCCCCGCTCCCAGTTCGGAGCTAATGTGCTGCAATGGGTCATCTACGATTCCTACCTTGAGAACTTTGCGGAGCAGCAGAAGGAGGGCGGCAAGAAGGATGAGCGTAAGCGTGGTAGACGCGAAAAGAAGTTCAAGGACAAGTCCGCCATCGCCGAGCAGCTGAACAAGAAGTATCTCAAGTGCTGGCAGATCCTCGAGCGAATGATCAACCAGAACATCTATGATGATATTGCTCATGACTATCGCTACTGGGAGGATCCAGCAGATGAGTATCGGGAGGGCGAGGGCAACCTTCTGCCTCTGTGGAAGTTTCAGTATGATAAGACCAAGAAGATGAACGTCACCGATATCCTTTTTAATCCCAGTTATTACGATTTGTTTGCAGTCTGCTTTGGGTCACGTGAGTAAAGCTTTTATTTAAAAATAATTTAAGCCTAATCCCTAATTCAACCTTAGATGATTTCATGAAGCAAACCAACGAGGGTTATTTGTGTCTCTTCACCGTCAAGAATCCTTCATTTCCGGACTATATCAGTGGGTTTCAGATCCGCTTATGTAGCTACATATTAATTCCTTATCATTATCTCTAGTCCAAACCGACAGCGGCGTAATGTGCTGCGACATCCATCCAGCGTATCCTTTTCTGGCGGTGATTGGGCTGTACGACGGCAAGGTGGCCGTGTATAACCTGCGGGAGGACTGCAAGGAGCCGCTTTACGTGTCCAAGGGCGTCAATTGCAAGCACGGCGAGTGCGTGTGGCAGATCAAATGGGGAAAGGACATGAGCGACGGCGAAGTCAACTTCTTCTCAGTCTCCTCTGATGGCCGGGTCTTCAACTGGATCCTCATGCAAAACAAGCTCTGGGTTACCACCATTATTACGCTGTACCGGGAGAACGGACTAGTGGACGGACCGGATGGCACCAAGGTTAGCCTGAAGAGTGGGGGCTCTTGCATGGTTTTCCATCCCGTGGACAACAAGGTGCGTGTACTCATCCCATAATCTATCTTTTCATAATAATATTAATATTTATCTTTATCCCAAGGTCTTCCTGGTGGGCACCGAGTGTGGCTACATTTACAAGTGCAGCACGGCCTTCAGCTCCAAGTATCTAATGACCTATAATGCCCACAACATGTCTGTTTATCGCATTGATTTCAATCGCTTCAACTCCAACATCTTCGTGTCCTGCGGCGGCGATTGGCGAGTTAAAGTCTGGGAAGACATGCGCGCCGATCCGCTCTTCATCTTCGACCTGGGCTCTGCCGTTGGCGATGTGAAGTGGGCCCCTTACTCGAGCACCGTTTTCGCCGCTGTTACCACCGAGGGCAAGGTGCATGTTTTCGATCTGAATGTAAACAAATACAAGGCAATTTGCATCCAGGCTGTGGTGCCCAAGCGGAAGAACAAACTCACCCGGCTGGCCTTTAACGAGAAGCTTGCCTTTATAGTGGTAGGCGATGAAAAGTAAGTTCCTTTATGTTTTGTAAGGAACAAACTGTAATCAATCATTATTAATACTCGCAGAGGTGTTACCACTTCCCTGAAGCTGTCGCCTAACCTCCGAATGATGGTCAAGCCGCCCAAGAAGCAGCTGTATCTTGACCAAACCACCCTGCAGATAGGAAAGCTGGAGAAGCTGCTGTCCCTGGTCCGGGAGCTGCCCGAGGGAAGTGTGGTGCCCGATGCAGCCACCACTGTTCGCAGCTAAATAACTCACGAGTTCCATATATATTTTGATAAGCCCCGCAGATAAAACACTCGAGTCTGATTGTATGTATTATATTTTACACATATAGATCTGCTGGTTCTAAAAGAATCGTAGTTCATCCGTCTTATGTTAATGTTATGCTCCTATAAATCTAAAAAAATTTGCTATCAACGTGCGGTTGAGGTCAACCAACTTAAGGAACTTAGAAGCAATGTAAAAGATCACAAAATTGTATAATATTATATATCTGCGCTAGGAAAATCAAATACAAATTTAATTAAACAGTAGTCAAATCCGTCTTAAGGTCTGGCGTTGAACAAAACAATTGCTGGACTGAGAGATCTTCAATCACAAAGGCCCGAAGATAGTCTTCTTTGGGCTTTGATTGGATTAAAACACTTTCGGATATCAACACAGATAATAATCTGGTAATAGATTATCGGAAACAATACATCTAATTTTCAGCTTTTCACGGTTTCTTTACAGGTTTATGCATCGTTAGAGTAAAGACTGAATAATGAATAAGATGCATAACGGGCATACAAATAGATCTAAAAACAGAACTAGTTTGAATGATCTAAAATTATTTGTGAAAAGTTATGGCGTTACGCATCTTATTCGTTATATAGCCTTTGGTTCTAGTCCAGTCCAGCTTATTCCTCCTCCGCATCCAGATCAGCTGACTTGACTCTGATGTGCTTTGCCTCCAGATATTCGAGAACATTGTTCGGGCACATGACGCTCTTGCCCAAAAACAGAACCGTGGACATGGGATGCAGAAAATCGGCCGAGAAGGTAGTCGCCTTCCAGCCAAAGAACCCATTGGCCCGAGCCTCCGTTCCACTGATCTCGTAGGGCAGCAGATTGACGCCCACCTGGTTGGGCTTGGAGAACTGCACGCGAAAGTAGTGGCCATCAGTGGCCTTGATCCAGTAGAAGCCCTCGTTATCCACATACGGCTTGCTCTGTGACTTTTTCATCGCATTGGATCTCTCTAGGTCCTGAACATTGAAGCTAATGTCAATATCGTAGGCGTCCGGCGATAGGTGATTCGTCTCAATGGCGCTCTGGAGCGCCCGATTGTCCAGCCAGTAGCGGATGCCCACGTTCTCGAACTCCTCCAGAACGTGGTTAAACGTTGTCCGCAGCTTGTCCAGACAGCAAGGTGGGGTGTGTTTGTCCAGGTAAGAGTAAAACGGCCTTCCGCCGTACACAGTTCCGATGCAGGACTTGGTGGTCCGTTCGCAGCCGAACAGATCGATGTCGGTGATCAGGGGCAGCGAGGTATTGGAGGAGGAGAACTGGCCATCTAGTACCAGGCCATGACCCTGGCCCCACACATCTCTCGCTTGCGCCTTGCCGGGAACCCTGTACGCCCGTCGCACGATCCGCTTGATCTGTAGCTTTTTGTACATCTCCCGGAACTGCCGGCGCCGCAACTCCATCCTCCGCTGCTTGGTGTGAAAGGAGGCGAACAGCCGTCTTCCCTCTTGAAACGCTTGGGGGAACACCGTGGTCTAAGGGAAAGAATATCAAAATCGGACTATGGGAGCAACTGGGGGGCATACTCACCGACAGATTGGCAATCTTGGCCTGCATATAGAGCATCTCCGGAAAGGGCAGAGTGAAGGGCTCGGGCATGGAGCCCAGAGCGGCCACATCTAGCAGGATGGCGTGCTTCTGAAGGAACTGTTGGGGTAATGAAACATGGATTCAGGAATTCCGGAATATTGAGATTTGAGATTCACAGTTTACTCACTAAATCACACCGCCGACTGTCGTTGGTGGCCACCAGTTCCAGCGTCCAATTGGGCAGATCCATGGTCATTCTGACGCAGCTGCTGAAGGACTTGAGGTTGCCTGCAAATGGCACCAGCACCATGCGGCGCACCATCTCCTCCGGCGGAACGGGAGGACGTTGCTCCTTCGGTTGTCCTGGCAATCCCAGGGAGTTAATCTCGCGCAGGATCTTTTGCAACAGGTTCTTGCTACTCAGGCGCACACTGTCCGGCATGAGGAGGGCATACTTGGTGCGGATGGCGGCCAGCGGATTCAGTTCCTGCCGCGTGCGTCGCACGTCGAAGGCCAGGCTCTGGAACATCACGGTGTGCTCCTCTCCGGCGGTCAAATTCCGCTCGTAACCAACCGGCGGATAAGCGTAGTCTGATCCGCCTTCCTGGAGCACTAGAATGGGCATGTTGGGTATCACATCCAAGATACTATCGATGCTCGCCCGCAGATCCTGCTCGAAATTGTAGTGGCCGTAGAACACGATTGTGATGGACTTCCGGATGTGCTTGTTGGCATTGCGCAGCTTGTCCTTCGGCGACAGCTTGGCCGCTTTCGGGGGCTCCGGCTCCTCCGCGGCGGCCGACTCACCGGAGAGGGCTCTGCTAATGCGACGCCAGAGCAGCGTGTTCCAGGTGTAGTAGAAGAAGATCAGGTTGGCCAGCAGGAAACCCAGCAGGACGACCTTCACCAGACGCAGCCGGAACACCTTCATGGCGACGGATTGTGCAGCGGAGTGCTCTTCTAGCGGTGTGTGTATCTGTATCTGTATCTTCTTCCGGGTATCTACACTGCATCTACATGGCTAGCAGAGGAATTCCGTATCGTTTCCATTGACCAAGACATTCGCTTTGACCTCCAGATCCTCAGGCTTCGAATGGATGCTCATTCTATGACTTAACTTCCTCCTGTCACAGGACTGAGGACTCAAAAAAAACTTTGTATTTTCACTACTTTGTTTTTGTGCCTATTCCTTTTTCCACGTTTATGCGCAAATACAGATTTCCTCCCCCTTCGGAAAAGCGCTTTCAGCTCGAACAGCTGATGGCTACGGAAATGGAAAACCTGCCGCCTTTTCATCCAGGTTCCTGAAAGCAGTAAAGCTCTCGTCCTGGTTATTCGCTTTTCTCAAAAGCTCTTAACAAGTGGAGCTTATTAAAAGCATTTAAGGGACTGAAGGACACCGCTTAAGAAAGTAAGATAAAAGTAACGATGGAACCTTCATTACCAAGGATTTCTGATATCAAATAACTTGTATATTGGGTGTATATTTTAGGTTTATTTCAGGTGCATAGAATTTAAAATTTCCATTTTGAGTTTATTTTAATTTTGTTGGGTATTCTTTTGGTTTATTTTGGATCTATTTTAGGTGTTTATTATGTGTAATTTGGGTGTACGCTGGTAAGTTTTTATACCCTTGCAGGGTATTATAATTTCAGTCAGAAGTTTGCAACGCAGTAATGTTGCCTTATCGAGACCATAGTATAATTCTATCATGATCGAGACATTGCCGTTGATTTCCTGCTGAGAACTAGTCATTTTTCAAAACAGTAAAAGCAAATATTTATTGAAATCCATAAGATATTGTATAAAATATTCAGCTGAGACAATTTGTATAATACTGATTGGTAGGAGATCGACTTTAATGCGGTCTAGCTTCGTTACTTTCCCATGCCGGCAAACAACAGTGGGAAGGGCACCTCGTCGGTGGTAAGGATCTGCGGTGTGGGCGGCCGGACCTCACCCTCGGTGGAGCTGTTCAGCCAGTACGTGGTGACCGTCCCCTTGCCCTTGAGCTCCACGTCGCCGCGTTGCTCCATTTGGAATGTGCCAAACTTGTCCAGGATAATCTTGGTGGCAGAGGAAACGTGGATCTTGCCTGGTTGACCAGTACTCTCCATCCTCGAGGCCGTATTTACCGTGTCCCCAAAGAGACAGTAATGCGGCATCTTCTTGCCCACAACTCCCGCGCAAACGGAACCCGAGTGCATACCAATCCGAATCTGGATTTTGTACTCCGGCTTATGGCGCAGGTTGAAGGAGCTGACTGCTTGGAGGATGTCCAGTGCCATCAGTGCAATCTCGCGGGCGTGCTTATCCCCATTGGGCTCTGGGAGTCCGGAAACAACCAAATAGGCATCGCCAATGGTCTCCACCTTGTACACATCATAGAACCCAATGATCCGGTCGAAGGTGCTGTACAGATCGTTGAGAAAGTTCACCACATCCATGGGACTGCTGCGAGCACAGAGCTCCGTGAAGCCAACGATATCGCTGAAGTAGATGGTCACGCTACTAAACTCCTCTGGCTCGACGAGATCGCCGGCCATCAGCTGTTGGGCCACAGGGCGCGGCAGGATCTGGTAGAGCAGCTCCTCGGTGCGCTGCTTCTCCAGGCTCAACTGCCGCGTCTTCTCCTCAACGAGACTCTCCAGATTGTTGGCATACTGCTCCATTCGGTTCAGTAAGTCGTCCATTAGGTTCTCACAGAAGCCTCTGAGTATAAATAATAATTTGTGAATTTTATTATTTCGGTAGAACGAGACTCACTTCATTATTGTGCGAATGTTGCTCCGTATAGTTGAAAAGGTGGGCCGCTCCTCCTGGTTGTCCGCCCAGCACTTCTCCATCAATTCCAGCAGATCAGGCGGACACTCACGCTCTCGGATAAGCGGCCTAAAGCCGTTGCACTGCCTCACCTTGTGGAGAATCGTGTGCACGTCCATCTGCTGACGAGCCTCCTGGTACGGACCACCACGGTTGACGATCTCCTCCAGAATTATGCCAAAGGAGTAGACATCGCCGCGCTGCGTGGCTGGACAGCAGCCAGGGATAGAGGTCAGCGGCAGCAGCTCTGGAGCAATCCACAGCAGCTCTAAAACAAATGTAAATTGTTTTTAGCTAAAGTTAAGCTTTATACTTCAAATAAACTTACTGAGGTAGTAGTTCTGATCCCGCACAAAGTCCGAAGGCGTGGTCAGCGTGCTCAGTCCAAAGTCCGAGATCTTGAGCACGAAGCGCCCGTCAATGAGGCAGTTGCAGGATCGCAGCTTGCCGTGAGCAGCCACATCGCTGTTGTGCAGATAGTTCATGCCCTTGACAATGTCGTGGATAAGGGACATGCGAAAATTCCAGTCCAGCTCGATGGCCTCATTCTCCAGCACATCCTTCAGGCTGCCCCTCGAGCAGTATTCGGTGAGGATGAGCACCGTGGGGCGGGGCAGATCGATGCAGGCTCCCACAAAACGTACCGTGTTTTCGTGGCTCACATCCCGAGCCTGCTTGATCTCCCAAAGCAGCTGCGGCGTCAGCTCCACCTTCTTAACGTTCACCTTCTTGATGGCCACACGCTCGCCCTTAAACTGCCCGATGGTTGTGTACACCTGCGGTGGCAGCGAGGTGAAGCTGGCTATTGAGGCGCGGCCCGAGTGGATGCCAAACTGCTGCAGCGAGATGTTCTCCACGTCCAGGCGCTGCAGGCCGCCTTTCGAGCCGAACATGCCGCCCATCTCGATCAGAACATCGTCGGGTCGCACCCGCCAGGACATGTTGTTTAGTTCCTTGCTCAGCTTCATTTGTCTAAAAATTGCAAAGTAATATAATATTTTTTATCATTATATTTTTTATATTTTTAACTCACTTTTGGAGCAGACAAATAACCAGAAAAACAAGGCCCAAGAACAGCGCCAGGCCAAAGAGGGAGTACATAATGGTGGATTCTGCCAAAATCAAAAATAATTAAAGAGTTCATTCATAATTAAGGTCTCTAACCATTCCCATGACAATCCGGGGCGTTGCCCAGAAAGCCGCATGGTGGCACATCCGGCGGTGGCTCCTCACGTCCTCCTGGCCAATGGATCTTTTTGCCCTGGACAGCAGCGTATTCTCTTTAAGTATATGCGTATATTTATATCATATTATTATATTATTTCCTCATTTCCACTCACTTGTGCAATCCGGAATAGTGGGCTACTACAGAGAATTTGCCATTAATTGGATCTAGATCCAGAATGGAGTAATCCGCATCACGGTCGCCATTGTCATCGATGCGTACATGACCGGTGATGCCCTCGAAGGTGCGATTCCACATTCTTCTAGTAATATTAACGCCATCTCGAATGTCACCGTCCTCGGTAAGGGTTTCGTTCAAGGCCATACCCAACAGGTAGACACCGTCGTAGAAGGCTCCAATAAAGAAGTTGACCTCCTCGCCCTCGCCAAAGGTGTAGTTGTAATCGTAGAGTGCATTCTCGCGAACGTTGTCCGCAAAGTCCTGAAACTTGGGACTGGTTGGCTGCAGGAGACTCACTCTCAGCAGAGCCTCGTACGCCTTGCGGGCCTTGGCATCGTGCTCGTCCTTCATTTCCCAGCCCTTGTCGCCCCAGTAGTCGCTCTGGAAGATCTCCACGTCCAGAAAGACCCACTCGCCATTGGTCATGCCCAGGCTGTGGGCTGCCAGCATAAATTTACGCACTAGAACACCGCGGACTGACAGGATAACAACTGGAATGGAAAGGAAAAGATAATGGTAATTCAAATATACATTTCTTGAATAAAACAAGGCATTCTAACAGCTAATCTTGTTGTGTTATACATAGAATAGCACTCCTTACTTACCTCTAGCATACATGCTCGCATCCTTAAGATAGTTCTCATAGATCTCCTCCTCATTTCCATTCAGTTCGCGCACAAAGCTCAGCAGCCCCTCCTGGCGCAGTCCATACTCTAGGTTCTTGCCCACCGTCCACGAGAATAGCTCCGACCTGTCCACCAGAAGCGCCACATGCCGCCAGTTGAACTGCCGGAAGACACTGGCAAAGACGAGGATGAGACGGCACTGGCAATAGGACATCCGGGTGAGGGTGGGGTACTTGGACTTGTCCTTGAACATCCCCTGCAAGGAGTAAGAGTAACGAGAGGGCTAGTAGCCCGTTGCTCAAGCCAGGAATGGTTCAAGCCACACAGTGAGAAATACACCAATAGTGAAGGTAAAGATTTAATTCTTATTTTTGTCACACCCCTAAACTTACCGTATTTTCATTCTTCCACTTGTGTATCCGTCCCAGGATTCCAGAAGTCACCGTTAGCTCACTCTCCGAGGAAGGCGGCTGGCAGCAGCAGCAGTAGCAGTAGGGGAAATGTCATTTGTTATCAATAACACGGCGAACTTAAATGCAAATTAAAAGGCAAGCGGTACGCCATTTAATTGGCAATGTCAAGAGTACGACCACGACAATTAAGGCGACTAAATGTGATTGCCTCTGGCTGTGCGTGGAGGAGGCAGTGACAGTGGGCGATGTTAAGCCTGGTGGGTTCTGGATTAGGCTTAAGATTAAGTTTCCGCATTTTACAGACTCAGAGGTCACATAATTGAAAGCGGCGTGCTGCGCCGCTCGACACGCGACTGCAGAACCCCATCCCCGAGAGTCCCCTAACCGGATCCAAGCCAGTGTCCTCACCTGATCTCCCATGCCGGTAATAATAGGCGTGTTCCAGTAAGCGGCCAAACGTGCCACCGGCTCAAGGGCAAAAGCGCAAGCGGGTCCGATGAAGGCGATTACGTCGTCCTGGAAGTGCATGTCTGCCGCCAGTCCGGGAGCCCTGGCTCCAGAGCAGGATGGGTAGCTAAGAAAGGCAAATAAATTAAAAGTGAATAGGGAAGTTCTACCGAAATCATGTTCGTTTAAAAATTTCCTTAAGGAATTCCTACCTTGCCTTCTTCTTCAGCAGCGTTATATTGTGAGGCCGAAGGAAAACCTTGTTAATCTGGTCCAATGCCAAGTCCACGGCTGGTCCACAACGCTCTAGGTCGAAGGGTGAATCTGCAGATAATAGCGAGGTCGTCAGATCTCGAACAAACTGCACCACCGACCACGCACTTACCCAAATGAGAAGCCATCAGCACTCCCACGTTGTAGACACGCATCTGGCCAATTTCACCCATTTCGTTGAACCTAGCCAGCTGATGGGATTTCGCGTCCCTGCTTCTCTCGAAAGTCCTTACCTCAGCAAAGGAATCATTGCTGTTAAATCCCATTATTGAAGTTGTGGTATCCAGACTAAGATCCTTGTTGGCTTCATCCCAGCTGATCTCATTACGCTTGGGATTGGGATGGGCACTGAAGGAATCCGTCGTCATCAGAAAGTAGAAATGGATAATGACCCGGAGTAGGTGCATTTCAAAGGGCTTTCAACTAAGGGGGATTTTCAATTAAATCAAATGAGGCTTGAATTAATTATTTCTTATAAAACGTTCTTAGAACAAAAACACAACACAATCCACTTATAAACTTAAAAAAAACCTTTATGATATAATTCTTTTGGATAAAAATTTAACGTCTTATGCTCTTTAAAGCATATTAAATAATTTAGGCAAATTTATTCAGTAATTGTGCCAACAGTTATTCAATATGAATTCTGGTTATATAGCCCAGACTCTTCACTGATTTAATTTCAGTTGCTTTGACCCGAAAATCCGCTTCGAAGTTGAATTTATCGCACAACTCTTGGTTTTCCAAGAACTTAGGCTACATAGAAATTTGAAATTAATTCAAATCGCAATAACGAGTAATGAGGCGCGAATCATTATCCACTTGAAACTTGAGTGTCCCGCTGTTCCCTTTCCTTCGGCGCATCTTTAACATTTAACTGTACATAATTGTATTTAAGCACTTTTTATACTTTTTAAAGTTTTAAGGACACAAACACTTCACTATTTTTAATTGTATTACCGAAAAATTATGAAAGAAAGCCAACTTGAAGCGCGTTAATCGACTGAGGCCACGGCCAGTACCGTTGGTCCTTTTATATATGCCAGGACTCGGGCTCGGCACAACTCGGCACAAGACCCGAGCCACTGCAGCCAATAAGAGGCCGGCTATTTGCTGGCCAACTGGCTTCGTCTGGGCGAAGGAAAGTGATTCTCTAGGTTAGGCGAGCAAGGTTTCACGGCCTCACTTGTTGCTCCTCGGACGAATTTGAATGGCAATCGCTTGGAAACGACGTCGCGTGCTGGCAGCAATTAATGTGTCTGTTTGGGGGCAGTCTTAAAGTCAGCGTCTTAATTTTAAATTGCTTAAGCAAATCCAGCATCTCCTCGCGACATGTTAGGCGTTTAAGGGTAGCTAGAAACCCTTTTAGGTAAATTTACATTTATACCCAATGTCATTAGAAAAAGCAGGCTAAAGAGAGTGATTTGAAAAACATATAAAAGAACAAGGGGAAAATATTATAAGCCTTTATGTATAGTATACAAACTTCTTTTTTGGGCAGGCTTTTCAGGGAGAATATACATATGTACTTGTAAAATGTTATGAATTTTTCATGAATTTTTTGTTGTAGGAAATAGTCAAGCAATCATCGTGAAACTTTTGAGATTGTTAAAAGGGGAATCGGAGATAATAAAATAAATGTGTTATAAACAATATTTTAAAAAATGGCAGACTTATGAAATATATGCTGCAGCGCCTCGAGCTTTGAGTTTCCCTGCTATGAACACGATAGAGCTCGTAATTTGTGTTGGAAATTAATAACCAATAATTATTTAAGTTTATTATACGTTTATCTTCTATTTTAACATAAAAAAACCAATAAAAAAAATTATATTTTTAGCAAATTTCATTAGACTTACCACCCTTTTAAAAAATAACAATACTTATTTTTATTACCCATATTTAGGTTCAAATAGAAGAAAATTTTATGCTGATGATAAAAGTTGCTTAGTTTGATCTTAAACCAAAAACAAAATGTACAAAAATTGTGTGGTTTACATGTTTAGTCCCCATTAAGTCTCTTATTGCATAAGTATGTTCATAATTAAATATTTATTACTACAAAAATACATATTTTTTTTTAATTTTAAACTCTTATTCATGTACAATTTATTTACTGACCAGATTCGACTAAATTATTTGCGCTGCAGGCGGCCACCAGGACGGCCCACAGCAGCGGCGACCTTCTTCACCTCCTCAATGGCATACATCACGCGTTGCGGCTCAGTGAGGAACCAGATCCATAGAAGCACGCTATAGCGCCAAAGTTTATCCCTGTCCTAAAGCGGAAAATGTAGTAATGACATTCCATTTTAAATTTAACCGCACATACCATACGGGCCACAACGTTTTCCTGGAAATCAGTGCGCAGCGATCGCACTGCCTCTTCCAGGCGACTATGCTGCTGGCTGACTTTGAAAATGCGATTTAGATACCGAACATTCTCCAACAGTGGCTTTTCAATCGGCGAATCGTAGACAAACGGTTGGAGGGTCTGTTCCAGGCGCTTGCTGCAAATTCAATTAAATAAATATTTAAATTGGGGAGAGATACCAATTTCAGAGGACTTCAAACTCACAGTTCGGCGAGCTGATCCTGGGCTGTGACACAGGACTTCTTGTTGAGCATGCTCTGGAAGGAATAGGAGAGCAGGCGTCCAAACTTTTCGTATTCGAAGAGGCAAGTCTTGGCCTCCGCAGCCTTGACGGTATGCCCAAGGTGGGCCGACAACAGTTGGGAAATCTGCTGCACAAACTGAGAACTGAGACCCTGGTGGCTGGCATTAATGGAGCGCATTGTTTGAACCCGCTGAAACGTAGCATGTGCCTGACTCCGCAGCTCCTCCGAGGGGTCCAAGCAGTTGCGTGTCTTGTCGCAGTCCAGCTGAATGGCGATCCACAGCAACTCGGCATTGGACAGGGCATCCGATATGATTTTGGTTAGCTTTTTGTCGCTCTCGTGTCGCCGCAACGCCCGTTCCAGCTTCAGTTTAGTATTCTCGAAGAGCACGAGCTCTATGCGCCGCTGTGTATGCTGCTGTATGTGGTTTGTGATATCACTGAAGAGGGTGTCGTGTATGCTCAGCTGGTTCTCATTGTGCAGCTGCAGGTCGTGCAACTCGCGCCCCATTTCCGCCAGGCTAAGGCAGTGAATCTGCTTCAGATCCAGCTGATCACTAAGGGCCTGTGTGGCCTTGGCCTTTGCCCTCTTCTTGATGTAGGACAGTGCATAATACTGGATGCTGCAATGGAAATATAGGACTAAGTACGTTCTTTATGGCCCAGAAATACTCTGCTCTGCATACCCGCGTTGCAAATTCTCCAGTTTGTTCTTTTCCTGCAGCAGATCTGCCTCAGCGCTCTGGAACTCATCATAATCCTGTATCTTGAAGTTCTCCTTGACATACAGAGTGAAGAACTGCATGAACGAGTCACACTTGCTTAAATACTGCTCCAGTGGCAGCTGGTGCATAAAGACGGGGGGCATCTGCTGGGAGGTGAAGGCCTTTTTGGCCTCAGTGCTCAGCCTGCAATTCTCACGCTGCAGCTCCTCCAATTGCTTGGCTTGGGACTGGCACTCAGCGATCAGTTCCTTCTCCTTGGTTTGAAGCTCAGAGGTGGCGCACTCCAGTTCGGTAAGATGATTGTTTATCGAGTGCTCGTTGTTGCTGGAAGAAAATGTGGAGATCCAGGGGTTATGGTGAAAGTTATCAAAAAAAAATAACCCCTTACAGCATGTCCTCCAATAGCGTGGCGTACTCCCTCGATGCCTCCTCGACAGCTTCGATCTCCGAGGTCAGGGCGTCTACATCCTGCTGACTATAGTTCAGGAGTCCCGGGCTCTCCGACTCGATCTGCATGAGCCTTTGCTCCCGTTCAGATGCGTCCAGCCACTCTCCCCGCTGCTGCATCTCTGCGCGCTCGAGAACCTCTCGCTCTGTAAGGATATTCACGTCTGTTATGTTCTCGGACAGGTACTTGAAGAACTTTTCCATCTGCTCATCGTAGAGGATCCACTGATTGGAGCTGTCCACGCCCAGCTTCTTGAAGAACTCGGAGTTCTGCAAGCGGAGCGGTGTTATATGCGGTCAATATTCAACACGGAGAGGCCAATTGTACATACGCTGAGTAGGTCTCCCATATTTTCGAATGGCAACGACGACCAAGTTGAACAATTCGCGCGTCCTCCAACACAATTACACAAATGGTGTGACCGTCGTTGAAGTCGGTAGAAATACCATAAGTAGCATTTTATACTAGAATAAAAAACACTACATTTTCTAATTGGAAATCGGACGGACAGTCTGGCAGCACCGTTGAGACCGGTTCTCTATTCCGTTTTTTAACGATTTTCCGACTTTCATCTCAGAAAACATTGCAGAACAGGCTCCGCCGAGTGGGCAGGCATAGCCCCGTTATATTTTAACAACCGAAAAGTACAATTGGCGTGAGAAAACATGGAAAACTCACTTCCCGCCGGAAACAAGTGTGACCGTTCGAAGACAAGTCGGAAATGTGTGCCATTTTCGACACTATAGCGTTATTAGCTGACGGAGCGCTGGGCACACTCGGCTACACTGAATGACAAGTAATTTCTGTTCGATTTGCCAAACAAACTTGTAAATTTATATACTTGAAAAAGATGGTAAGTACATACCGACGAACCGCCATATCCCGTGTCTGTGAAGTGGACAAGTGCGCTAACCTGTACCTGTGTGCCATTTTCCAGGCGCGCCGCTATGATTCCCGCACCACGATCTTCTCGCCGGAGGGCCGCCTCTACCAGGTAGAGTACGCCATGGAAGCCATTTCGCACGCCGGCACTTGCCTGGGCATCCTGGCCGAGGACGGCATCCTCCTCGCCGCCGAATGCCGCAGCACAAACAAACTGCTGGACAGCGCCATTCCCTCGGAGAAGATCTACCGCCTGAATGAGTGAGTTGGTGGGAGTCGGTATTCCCGGCATAAAAGTAGGGGAAAAGGAGGAACTACGAGATCTGAGACTTCGAAGGCTCCTTTAAATTCACATAAACTAATACTTAATACTGATGAGAATCCTTTGCCCACAGGAACATGGTCTGCTCTGTGGCCGGCATTACGTCCGATGCCAATGTGTTGACCGCCGAGCTGCGCCTGATCGCCCAGCGCTACCAGTTCAGCTACGGCGAGGTGATCCCCTGCGAACAGCTGGTCTCGCACCTGTGCGACATCAAGCAGGCGTATACCCAGTACGGAGGCAAGCGCCCCTTCGGCGTTTCCCTGCTCTACATGGGCTGGGATAACAAGTACGGGTACCAGTTGTACCAGTCAGATCCCAGCGGCAACTACGGCGGCTGGAAGGCCACTTGTATCGGAAACAACTTCGGGGCCGCCATCTCAATGCTGAAGCAGGAGCTGGCCGACAAAGAGAACGTGAAACTGACACTCGAGGACGCCAAGGACCTGGCGGTCAAAGTGCTCTGCATGACCCTAGATACCACCAAGCTGACGCCTGAAAAGGTGGAGATGGCCACGCTGCAGCGCGTGGACAATGCTACAGTCTACAGCGTGCTCGAGAAGCCCGACGTGGAGAAGCTGATCGAGAAGTACAACAAACTGCAGGCGGAGGCTGAGGTCGCCAAGAAGGAGAAGCAGTCGAAGCAGCAGGCCAAGCCCTAAGCCCGCCTCCCTGTTCATTGGTGGATAGCTACATGCATAATTACTGATTTTTGTATTCGAGGAGTGTGAAATAAAATTTCAAAAAAGAAACAAGGGGGGCGTTTGGATATCTAAAAATTCGGTGGAATTTGATTGATTTTAAATATAAACTCGACTCTCGAGGAGTCCTACTACGAGGCCTTGGCGGCGGTCCAGAAAACGGAGATGGTGAAGCGGCAGAAGGATCGCAAGGACATGGACAAGGTGGAGCAGGCCACAGCCCTGGCCAGGAAGGTTGAGGAGGAGGCCAAGAAGCAGTAATAACACCAGCTCTTAGAAAACCTGTCTAGCCGGCTCCGTCTTCTACCGGCCCTGACCACGACAGTCACGGGCACTATGGGAACCGGCATCTCTGCGTTCGGCTCCCTGCCCAAAAAGCCAGTCGTTTAGTCTTAAGGGAAATTGTACAATTAATTAAATAATGAAATATACATTTATTTGAATATGACATAGGAATGGTATAATATAAACAATTGTTCCAGACAACTTTTTACGAATGATTGCTGTAGGCTATCCTATAAAAACCAGGAAATGGCATCAGAAATAGTTGACTATATAGAATATACATGTATTAAAAGGTAGGAATAATTGTATGTTTTCTAAAATGTTTAAAATAACTAACCTATTGAAGACTTTTTATAAATTTGTTGGCTTTTTTATCGTTTTATCTATACTAAAATAATCAACGTTTAAAACAATTAACCTACTATACTATCAACGGTGCCAAAGGCCAGCTGGCAGCAGTCGGGAGTCCATTGCGATTCTATTATCCGGGTACTGTTGTCGCACACACTGTGCAGCTGTGGGCTCGTACCCTGGTGATGTTGCGGTCGAAGGTGCGGGGGGCTTTGCAGGCTCCCAGTTGAGTTAGTGCCTTCAACGCTATGTTCTAACTATGCACAGCAGAACCGCCTTACTGCTCTGCTGGCTGGCTGTGATCGAGGACAGGTTTCTGCAACAATAACTCTTTTAAATACATATTGGGATGTACGTATGTATGCTGACTTACCTACTGCTTGACGCGCTTGCTGTGCCCTAGGGTACAAGTGCGTTGGTGGCCTGCCACCTGTTTGGTGGTCATTGTCAGCCGCCCACAACCGCACTCGTATTGATACATCTCCTTGTTGCACTGTTTTTCGTGCCGGTAAAGCACGGCTGATGTGTTGCACTGCATCATGCACGTGGAACACAAATGTATTTATCTCAGCCTCGACGGCGCCAGGAGCGGCGGCAATGGTGCAGCCGCACTGCACGCCCCTTGATCCTCGGCCTCGTCCTGGTCGACCTGCGCAGGCTCCTCCAGCAGGAGCTGCAGTGCTGCATCTTCGGCCATTATTTCCGCCTCCAGGTAGTCGATCGCGGGATCCTGCTGCTCGGCCTTCACGGGCTCATCCTCCGCGGGCTCCTCCTGCTGCTCGTGGCGCAGAGCCAGGGCCCCGTCTATGTCGAGCTCGTCTTCGATCTCCGTCTGCTGGAGCTCGGTTCTCTGCGCTATTGTGTTTGATAGGAATTTGTGCCCCTTCACCTTGAGGAACGACAGCTGCCGGGCCTCGACCGGGCCGAAGGCTTTTTCCGCAGCAGCGCCGGCGTCATTCCGCTCCTGCGAGGACTTGGCAGTGGCGACCAGGTCCACCAGGAGGTCCTCTCTTGGCGTTATTCATTGTTCACGCGCGGTTTTCGTTTGTAAAAAACGGCTAAAGTCGCCGAAAAAAGCCAAATTCGCCGAAAGCCCAGTTAGTCCGCGAGGCTGAAAGAAGGGCCCTTAATGAAAAATACTTTTTTTTATTAATGTGTACACACTTACCCCGACAGATCCACGTCCAGCTTCTCCAGCATGCTGAGGAGGCACACCACTCTCCTCAGCAGCTCGTGGACCTCCAGGAGCCTTGCCTTCATTCTGGGCTCTGCCGTGAGGGCCTCCGCCATTACGAGGGACGCCTCTGTGGCCAGTTTCCGGCCCAAGCTCTCCAGCACGTCGTTGTTGCACTCCCGCAGGTGGAACGGGCTGCCCAGCACGGCGAACCGCCGGGCCACAACCCGCTCCACCGCGTTGATCTCGGAGAGGGTTTTCCTCCTGGCGCTGGCTGGGATCGAGTCGGCCATCGCGCGTATGACGGCGAACTTTTCGGCCTCGCTGTGTTGGCGGAACACCACGTGCTTGTGGACCGCCTGGAGGAGCACATCGGCGTGACCCATGCCGGTGTCCATCCTCTTGATGAGGTGGTGGAGGTCCACCAGCACGGGGTAGCCCGCCTCCACAAGGAGGGCGTTGTTCGGGTCCTCATCCGCCACGATGGCCAGCAGGTGGTCCTCGATGCCCATGCCGCGGAGCTCGTCGCGGACTACCAGCAGGGACTCCAGCACCTCCCGGGCATCAAACTGTCTATCTCTCTGGACAAACAGGGCAATTAGGCTATAATGGGCTTTATGTGGATATGTACTTACGGTTTTCGTGTAGACCACCTTTCTTATTGAGCCATCCTCCGTGGTGGCCAGGATGAGCACGATGTGTGCGGTGACGGGCTGCAATAACGGGATATAAGTTGAAAACTTGTTCCATTTTTATAATGAGTGGGCGGGTGAAAAGAGAGCCCCACCAGCTGCAGCCACTACCGACCCTCCCGCCGCACCACATACACATACTCATATGAATATAAGGGATATGGGATACAGGGATATGGGATATAGCACTCACCGTCTTTAGGAATACGACGTCGATCATTAAGAAGAAGCACCTGTCGGTGGACGCCGCTTTCAGGGCCTCCAATGCCGGCCTGTTCACGAAGAGCCCACTCGGCCTGTGGGGGTCGTCGACCACGGGCAGGTGCCGGAGCACCTCCTGGCGCAGGTGTGGCGCATTAAAGTGCTTTAAATTCTGAATTTGCATTGTCTTACTGGTCAGTTCCTCTTTCCTGTTGGAGACTTGTCCGGTTGTTTGTCTGGGTGTGACCGCTGTTTATTCCGCTGAACACGCCAAAGCCCCGAAAATTGCGCTTTCGCGGCGCCTGGGCACACACTTTAGGACGTTTTCGAGACGCGGCACGAGAACGATCTGGCAACGAGCGACCAAAAGTACCAGATCGTTTTACCTGGTCACACTCGTCCTAAAAAAACTAACGAGTAGTGCTGGCAAAAATCGTTTTTCCACTATCGATTTTTCGATGTTTTTACGGACGATGGTTTTCTTGTATATGGTATATGAAAACCATCGATAAAAAAAAAAGCTAGCATCGATCAAAAAAATAGCTACGCCGAGTTGCCGGACTTGTTTATTGTCCAGAAACTACTAACTAAGCCCAAAATTCCGTCGCTCAAAAAACGTTAGTCGCCGTCAAAAAACGCTAATTTACTGCTAAACTAACAATTAGTCGGTTTCACCGGAGGGCTTTTCGTGGAAAACACAGTTCGCGCAGCGGCGGGCGCGTGGAAAGCGGACGGGGAAAACGTTTTTTCGTACGCAGCAGTGGAAGTGAGCGCGCGTGTGTGTGTACGTGCCACAGAAAGTTGCAAGCGAAAGGCTCTAAATAGTGCACGTTAAATTGTTGTTAATACTTCATGTGCTCGCTTTATGCAATAACAAATCCCCACAAGTGTCCATGCGAAGGCGGAAAAATGTGAAAAAGCCAATGGGAATTTCTCAATGTTGTCAATATTCAGCGAGAGCGACGTACGAAAAGTCAAAAGCAAAGGAGAGGAGAATGGAATAACACAAGAAAAGAGCTGGGCCACGGGGAAGCAAGAAGAAACGCGAAGCACGGGCTAAAGAAAAATCGAAATAATAAAAAACACGCACACAAGCGCCTGGCCGTGTGTGTGTGCATGTGTGAGCGAGTGAGAATCTGTGCGCGCGTGTTTGTGTGTGTGAGAGAGTGAAACGTATAAATAAAATTCAGCCAAATGCAGAAACCAACAACAAAATGGATAACAAAACTACACAGTTGGATTTTAAATTACTGGTAATTAAATAATGTTTACCATTACCCTTCTTCTTCTTCGCCATTATGATATCAAGTACACACACACAAGCAGCTGAATTTACGCTTGTATGTGTATGTCTAATTGAGAGAGCAGCAAAACAACGTGTAATGCGTAGGCAAGAAAGAGAGCGGCAGTGCGAGAGAGAGATAGAGGAGCGAGAAGAGAGCGCGATAGAAGAGGAGGTGGAGGACAGATAACAAATGAAGTGAAGTACAGTGTGCACTGGCCGTATTTATTGTTGTTGTTGTTGTTTGTCGTTCTTATTGTTGTTGCTGTAGTGTGAAAAGGTCGTCCCGATTAAAAAACAAAAATTTAGTGTTGAGCTCCAATTGGAAATGCGAAGCACCTGAGGTAAACAAAGAGACGCTGCGAATGAGTTTGAGCGGGAATTGCGGTCAACTTGGGTTTGATTAAGAAAGCGCGAAGGGGAGAATATAGCTGAGCAGAACGCGTATAATTCGGCCAAGTGTAGCTGGCGGGAGGGTGGTTCTGAAATTCCCTCTATTTGAGTTTGCTTTATTATTTTAAAAGCTTTAAAAACCAACCCATCCCCAATCACTTCTTGCACAATTCCCACCCACCAGCACACACACACACATACTGAACTTCCGCCGAGTCTTTTGCTCCATCTCCCAACCGCATCCCGCCCTTCCTCTGCCGCCCACTCCCACTATCCCTATTCAAAGGCAAAACCCATACCACTCCCATTTCCATTTCCATTTGCCTCCTCCTCGTCCGCCTTCTCTTTCTCCCCTTTTCTTTCCCCTTTCGCCGAGTGCCACATAATGTTATTTTTGTTTTTTCTATTTGCCTCTAAAATGAATTGTAGTCCCTCCTTCTCTCCGCCTCTCTTTCCTCCACGCCACCGCTTTGCCTTGCTTTGCTTTGCTTGTTACTCCCCACTTTTCGACCCATTTCATCATTGCTATTATTCACTTTTGTTTTGTTTTCCTTCGTTATTTTTGAGAAAATATTTATTTTTATTTTTATTAGTTTATAACAACATTTACATTTACTTCATCCACACACAAACACACCAGCATTTACATAAATACTAATACTACAAATACTACAAAATCCGACAGCCAACAACAACAACACTCCAAAATTGAGCCCCAAGAGCAAGAGTATGATTGTATTTCTTTCTCTCCCTCCGTTTTTGTGTGTTTGTATTGTTGTTTTTGTGTGTTTGTAGGTGGGGAAACGGAAGGGGGAGAGAATGAGGAGTTCTCTCCTCCTCCTGCATGCATATAAATTCGAGACATTTCACATGCAGGTGCGAGCGAGAGGGCCAATCGAGTACGAATGTACGAAGCAAAGCACAAGTGGAAGAAGAAGAATAGTAAACAGCGCCGCACAGTGGAGCAAGTTTTCTGTTGCCTTTTGTGGGGCACCGTTTTAATTAATTTCACCGTTAATACGATTAAAATTCAGCGATTTAAATGAATTAAATTACTTCTACGTCACGCCACGAAATGCACTCAATTCGATTTCCCACTCCGTTTCAAATAAAATGTTCCCTTGATCACTAGTTGTTTTGTTGTCTTTTAATTAATTCTGTTTTGCAGTAACTCAATTAAAGTTTTTATCGCTCTTAATTGAGTTTACGACATTGAGTTTTCCTTCCCTGTCCTTTCCACTGTGTTTTGCTGTGCCAATTTCATTAATAAAACTCTGAAAAAAGGGAAAGAGAGCGGGCGATGTAAATGCTATTTTTATTTGATTAGTACAACTATTTGAACGTACGTGTATGTGTGCATGCTTGTGTGAGTTCCACTTTGAGAGCTTTAATGTGTGCCCGAGTGCGAGGGAGATGGCGCTCACGAAATGTATAACATAAATTTTGCTAAAAATGCAGCCAACGTCATCCCCCCGACCACCGCTTGCCACCTCCCCAGCGTTTCACCCATCTGAACACTATAGAGTGTATATATATGTTCATACGGTGTGCTCATGTGTACATAAGTATTTCGAAGATAGCTCTTTGGGTCTTTATGTGTGCTCTGAACAGGTACATAACAATTGCAAACGAACTAAATATTTCTGTGCAGCAACTAAAGCTGAATAAATCAAGATGGAAGAAGCATTAACCATCCAGACCCACCGAATATAGGATACCCAGCCTCCTACCTATTGCCGAAAAAGTCGAGATATCTACACACAACTATAAGTATTTTTAGGTGCTCATAGGTACATGTTTCTAAGAAACATATACTATGATAAAAAATATCTATATAGCGTTTCTAATTCAGTTGACAGCAACGAATAATAATAATAGCGAATTGTAAATAGGGATTATTAGTTTTTAGCTTTATTCATGATAGTAGGGAAATCAAGTCATTCTGGTGTAGAGGTTTACGCCGATGGTTAAAGGCATCGGCGGCGGCGTAGAGGTCAAAATGACTCGGCGGCGGCGGCGTAGTAGTCAGAAAGAACCGGCGGCGGCGGCGCGTCAAATAAGGCAAAAAGGCCATTTTAATGAGTTATTTTTTTTTTTTTAAGTTTTATAAAGAACAATGACACTGAAGGCCGCGCTGAAGCTGCGCCGATGCCGCACCAGCGGCGCGCCGCGGCGCGCCGTTATTTTCATAATTTGGCGGCGGCGCGTCAAATAAGGCAAAAATCGGCGGCGGCGGCGGCGTGGCGCGGCGGCGTATATGTCTATTCTGGTGTACCTAATACTTTGACCATAAGTGTGTAAGAGCATAAAAGCATATACATATTTTCATATGTACATAACATACACATGCTGGTGAAATTTTAATTAGAACACAAAAAAAAATCTAATTAAATATGGCATTTGCTTTTTTCTTGCATTGCGCGCTCCTGAGCTTTTCTCTCCGCCTTTTCCGTTTTCCACCACCCCTCTCTTGCCTCACGCATACAAATTATATTTATAAAAGTTTATAAATGCATGCATGTGTGTACGCGTACTTGTAGTAAGTTTGTGTTATCTGCCATCTAAATTTACAACAACTTTATTGACAAATAAAACGGATGAATCGCAGCGTTGCCACCAAGATTGAATCGGTAGACTATAAGTATATTAAAAATCTGTTATTTTCCTTAGTTCAAAACCTTTTATGAGCATTACCGTTCCGTATTTTATTTCAAGTTGATTGATTAATAACAGTTAGACTGGGAGAAAGTATGGACTCACTGACTTACACTTTATCGCTGCTGCTATTATCGCTGTATAAACATGCATTCAACCATACAGTCGTCATATGGCTTACAAAGCATAACACCTCTAAACAAACTCCATAAAAAATTAATTGTTTGCATATCATTAGCTCAGAAATATAAATACATATTTAATTTAAGGTTATTGTTAGTAACAGTATGCATAGATTAATGCGACAGTAGAACGTACTTAACGTGAATTTTCATTCCCAAATGAAATTATAAGTATAAAATTGATTTTAAAGTTAAGCAAGATTTTATTTAGCAAAAGTCTAGTCTATATATTAACATTTATTTTTTCAAACGATTATACCAATATATTTATACATTTTTATTTTTTATAAATACAAATATGAAAACATTGATAACACTTCAGTAGATAAGTAGATTGACCAAAGAAACCGATATTTGTTAATACTTAAAATCTTGCTCAAATCACGTTAGTGATCCCATAACATACGCTTCTTTATAGTCACAGCATTTCTAAAATAAATAGTTTTATTATATAATTATTAAATATTAAAGTTCGTTGAATTTAGTTAGTCTAGTTCACAGCTTAATTTGAATCTTTGATTCAAGTTTATGGAGCTAACAGTATAGGCAGGAGTATAGTCATTATAAATTTTAGATAAATTTTGTCGGGTATCTTTTTTAGAGCATTTTAGGGTTCTGCTTTCGTTTATATGGGCCTGTCTCCTCTCCCCTTTTCCCTTCGCCTTTCGCTGGCTCCCCATTGTTTCCTCTCCCGCGCGCACAGTGGGTGGATGGGTGGTGGGAGAGCTGCAGGCAGAGAGCTCCACATTGTGTTTGTAACAACTACAAATCGCTGCAAATATACACACACGCTCACATACAGCGCATACATACATCCATAATAGCAACATTGTGGAATGGGGAAAAGTAGCACAAATTGTGCGCTGTTTTAATTTCTCTGCCGCTGTCTCTGCCTCTGCCTCCGCTTTAGCTGTTTTTTGTTTTTCTTTTCTATTTTCGCCATCTTCGTTTGCCATTTCTGTGTGTGTGTGTTTGCTTTGTGCTAATCGCTTGCGCGAGCAGCGCAGCCGACGTCGCCGTCGCCGTGCTGTCTACGTTTCATTTCATTGAAGCGCGCGCTCTCTCTTCCTCCTCTCTTCCAATCTCACATTCTCCCGCTTTTCAGCTCTCCCGCTCTAATTGCATTAAATTGTTTGGAAAATCATAATCAGTAATTGTGTTTGACGACAGTTATTCCTAGCACTGTGCCTGTGTGTGTCTGTGTGAGAGAGTTTGGCCGTTTAATTGAAACAAATGACGATTCTAATTGGGCCTTTAGCGGGACTAACAAATGTCCCGTATTAAGGTGGCAACCCTGCGAATCTCCCACCCACCACATTCCGCAGTTTGTTGTTTTTGCCGTGAAAATGGTCGGCTTCAAGCGGAAGTTGGTAATTTATTTCCACTAGCGCAATAATTTAAGCACAGTGGGCCCAAAAAATGTTAATAGTCAGGTCTGAGTAAATTATAGTATTTGGGACACATGTTTTAAATAAATAAATATAGGTTAAACAGAATACAATTATTCATTAGCCCTTACAGCTGACTGTAAAATTATATAAACAACGATATAATTAATGAAGTATTAAACTAATAAATGAAGTAATTAATTTGTATTAGTAAACCTATTGATCTCACAAGTCGGCTGCATTTTTAAATTTTATATACGAAAAGGTTAAATCATTACAAATGTTTTATTAATTCAAAAATTAATTAAAATTTGTTGTATTATTTTTCAGGTTGATCAGTCACTAAATCTACTGGACAGCCTCAACACGGCATTGCGGTGCGATGCTATTCAATTCTTGCTGCAGACTCTCAAGTGCAAATATCCGGAGGCCTGCGACCAAGTCGTCAGGAATCTGTTCAGTCACATAGCCGCAGCCAATGACAGCGGCGGAGGTGGCGGCGGGGCTCAGCAGCAGGAGCTAGCGAGGACGAAGCAGCTGCAGCTGCTGCTGACCGCCAAGAAGGAGAAGACGGAACCGGGAACGGGAGGGGAGGCGAAGATCAAGCGCGAGAACGACGACGATGAGGCTGGATCGACGGATCTGAACCAGAACTTTGAGAAGATCCTCTGCAAGGAGGAGTTCCTGTGCCTCGAGGAGGAGGAAGAGGATTTCCTTGACGATGCTGACACCCAAAACTCGTCTTCCCTGCAATTCAATGCTGGTAACAATGTGGACGCCCTGGCCCTAGGCCCCGGCGACCCGCTGGACCTGATCCACACGGGGAATTCCCTGTTGGTCAAGCGGAAGTATGCTGCTACCTTCGAGGACGAGAACCAGCTGGCCGAGGATGCTAACAGCAATAGTAGCGACGGCAAGCTGGTTAAGAGGAAGCGCACCAACAACATGCACCTGACCGTGACGAGTGTGCGGCGGAAAGAGGCACGCTCCCGGCTGGGAGAGGGGTACATCTTCCACGAGGACAGCCAGTACACGATGCGCTATCACCACAGCACCGGCGAGTTCAGTGAGCGGGCCTTCAAGGCCCAGTTCCGAGCTTTGCTGCGCATGGCGCTCAGCCAGCACCACAAGCCGTTCCTGCGGCAGTTCTACGAGAACTTTGTGGTAAACGGGCGCCTGTTGGGTACCACGCCCTCGGCGAGAGTGCTCAAGGAGCTGCGCGAGCAGCGGCTAGAGGAATGGCGTCGTCATCGGGAGCGCCGTCAGCTGGTCAGCATGATGAAGCAGAGTGAGCAGAAGTTAGAGGAGATCCAGCAGGAGCAGCAGCGGGAGGAAGTTCAGCACCATCAGCTGGAAGAGATGCAGCAGCAGCAGCTGGAAGAGATTCAACGGCAGCATCAGTTGCCGGCCATCTCGTTTGGCGACTCCGAGCTGGAGTCGGAAACGGAATCGCAGCTGTCGTCGGCTGCTCAAGAGATTATGAAGTTTGAGGAGTTCATTGACGAGGGTGTAGGCGCGGGACGTCTGATTGATGGTCTGGAAATGGAGCTTGAGACCGATGACATGTTAGCTGGCGCCGGCAGTGTCCTGGACAGCGTGAACAGCGCTAGCGGGCACAGCAGCAACAGCAGCAGCAGCGGGAGTGGGAGCGGCGCTAATGGGAATGGCATCAGCAGCGGGGTGATCCTGGAGAACAATAGTCATCATTCGCATCACCTGTGAGTTTCCTTTGTTAAATTACACTTCCCCCAAATAACACTGGGAAGGGTTATATTATTTCTTTGAGTATGCTTATTCCTTAACTTCTTTGCTTTCAGAAGTAGCAGCAGCAGCGCAAATATTGTGATCAACGGCCTTACGTCAAGCAATAGTATCAGCAACAACAATAATAATAATAATAACAACAATAATGGCAGCATGCATTGTCCGCAATTAACGCTGCAGACGCAGGATCAGGCGGGAGCGTCTTTGAAGCCGTCGCACCACTTGCCCATGCCCATGTCATTGGAACACAGGGATGCGAAGGGCAGCCAGGTCCTTGGCAATGCCAATGTGATCATGCCAAGCGGCAGCTCCGGTCACGCCAGCGAGATTCAGCTGCACCAGCAGCAAAACCACTACAACTCAAGCAATAATCCCCTAAGCATGATGGGTGGAATGATGCACCAACAGCAGCAGCAGCATGTGAGCATGCAACACCAACAACAGCATCAGCAGCATCAGATGATGCCGGGGCAGGGGTTTCCCCAGCATGGAACTTCCATGATGGTCAACCGTCAAATGCCCGCTCTGGCTGCTTTGTCGAATCTGGGCGACACTCCTCCTATCGGCAGCCAGTTAAACTCCTCCCTGGAGCTGGACGACAACGACCTGTCGGGCGACGAGGATGACGACGACCTGGAGCATGATCTGGACGAGCTGGAAGCGGCCAAGCAGCAGCTGATTGATGGCGGCAGCAGCAGTAGCACCTCCTTGCAGGCGCCGCCATCGCAACACGGCAGCGGCAGTGGGGGCAGCGGAGGCCAGACGCCCGGCAGCAAGAAGAACAAGCCCAGCTACAATTGCCTGCTGTGTCCCAAGTCGTATCGCAAGAGGAAATCCCTGCTTGACCACTACAAGATGCATCCTGGTTTCTGTCACGATTGCGGACAGCCCAACGGAAATACGTTAGAGGTAACAACAGAAGCGAAGCGAATTATAAAAACTTATACTAAACAAATCTCAACTTGTAGGAAGTAATCCTCCACAACAGGACGATGCATGTAAAGGAGTTTCCTTTCGTGTGCGAGACTTGCGGAGAGTCGTACTCGCGAAAGCAGCAGTTCCACGCCCACGTGGAGTCGCACAACAAGAAGGAAATCAAAAGTGAGTCGCCGTGAATGTAAATTTCACCAAGCTCTTCGGTGCTCGGAGTTCCTTGGAATCAGCCACAGCCTAAAGTTCCAATTCCATGAAACTGATAGTCTAACCATTTCATTTGTTTTTTTTTTTCTTAAAGCATTTCCCTGCGGAGAATGCGGGTTGAAATTTCCGCAGAAGAAGCTACAGCAGCACTTCGAGGAGACGGGCCACAAGGCCGACGGGGCCATTTGCGAAGTGTGCGGCGAGGAGTTCCAGTCGAAGAACGCCCTATACCAGCACATCATTCGCGTTCACAAGCGCGACAACTTTTTCGAGTGCCACATTTGCCATAACCGCTTCACGCTAAAGGCGAACCTGGAGCGTCACGTGCAGCTGCACACCGAGGTTAAACGGCCCTACGTGTGCGACCTGTGCGGCTCGTCCTACTACACATATCCCGCGCTCAAGGAGCACTATAGCAATGCCCATGTCGATGTCTCCGAGTGCAAGTGTACGCTGTGCGGCAAGCGCTTCGGATCGGCCAAGTCGCTCCAAAGGCACCTGCCATCGCACTCGGAGGAGCGTCCGCACTGTTGCAACTATTGCGATCAGGTGAGTGTCCTGAAATAAAAATTTACCTTAAATGTGGCAACCAAAACTGATATCCTTTGATATTCCGGCAGACCTTCAAGTGGAAAACGCATCTGGTGCGCCACAAGCAGACGACGCACGGAAACGAGCCGCCGCCTCCGAAGAAGGGAAAGCAGCGCTTCCCCAAGGCAAACGAAGAAGGTAAGTGCAGATTTCAGGACCGTTGCATAAAACTAAAATATATTTGAACCTTTTACTTATCCAGCAGAAATGGCTTCCCTGCCGGATATGCCTGGACCGCCGCCTGTAAAGGCCAGCAAAAAGGCGGTGACGAGTAAGGCGAAAGCGCAAGCGGCAGTCGCCGCGGGAGGAACCTCCCAGTTGCAGCATCAGCAGAAGGGCGTTGCAGCCACGCCGACGCCACCGCCGCCGGTGTCCACGACACCGGGATGCATGCAACAAGATCAGTTTAATGCGGCCATGGTCAGCAGCAATAGCTCGCAGTCCTCCACGGCGTCCACATCGCAGCACTCGGTGTCGACGAGTGAATCTCAGCAGAATTCCATATACAATCAGAGCTTTAATGCGGAGAAACTGCAGGCGGGACAACAGCAGCAGCAGCAACAACAACAGCAGCAGAGTGCCTTGCACCAGCAACATCCAACGCCGCCGCCGCAATCACAACAACAGCAGCAGCAGCAGCAACATCCAACGCCACCGCAGCCGCGAGTGGCATCCGCAGAATTGCATCTGCAGCGCATGAACAGCTTTGGGCAGGATGGGCAATTTCACTTCGAGGCTAGTCCAGCAGCTGGTGGCTATCAGCAGCATCAGCTGATCAGCCAGTATCAGCAGCAACAGCAGCAGCCTCAAACTCAGCAGCAGCAGCAGCAACATCATCTCGCCCAGCAGCAGCAACAACACCTGAGGAGCCACACCCCACAGAGCCCCCATCCGCCGCACCCCTCGCAGCTGCAACAGCAGCAGGCACAACCGCACTTCAGCTCCCCCCACCATATGCCGCCTATGCACCACCAGCACCAGCTAATGATGCAGCAGCAGCACCGCCACAACCAGCGGTCGCCGCTGCACCATCACCCGGCGGCCCAACAATTGCAGCAGCAGCATCAACAACCGTCGCATTCCCCCCAGCATGCGAGACTTCAGTCGCCACAACCTGCTCCAGTACAACAACAGCAACAGCAATTCCTGCAGCAACAGGCCTCTGACTCCTGGGGCAACATGAACTTTGGCAATCCACCAAACAACCAGCAAGTGGAGCTCAAGGATAACAAATTCTATATCGTAGACTCGGCAGAGTTCCTAGGGCTTCCAATGAATGTGCCGCCAGCGCAGCAGCAGCAACAGCAGGCTGTAAGCAAACCGCAGCAACAACAGCCGCAACAGCCACAGCAGCAACAGCAAGATCCAGCCCTCGCTGGAGACCTGATGAGCTTCCAGCATATGTGGCCGGCGCCTGGGTTTAGCCAAAATCCTCAGCAGCAACAGAACCCACAGCAGCAGCAACAAGCAGCGCAGCAACAACAACAACAACAGCAGCAGCAGCAACAGCCCCAGGGTCCTGCAAATCCTAGTGATCCACACAACTACAACAATATCGGCAGCATACTCACGAATCTCATTGACACAAATCCCGCGCCAATGGAGTACAACTTTGACCTGATGCAGCAGCAGCAAGCGCCGACACCCCAACAGCAGCAGCAGCAGCAGCAACAGCAGGCGGCGCAGCAGCAACATCACGCTGCCGGGAGCTATACGAGTGGCTTAATGCGCAGTGGAAGCAACGTTTACGGAGGTGCTTACGAGCAGCATCTCAGTGACCAGCTTGTTAGCGAGCAACAGAAGCAGCAGAACAGCTTTCAGCCTTACCACCCACATGGCCTGCAGGCGCAGCAGCAGTCGCCATTGCATCCGCATCTGCTGCCACCGCCAGCGCCGCACGGAAGCGTCTATGACCGCACGGGAGTTGGCGTCGGAGTTGGAGTCGGAGTAGGCTATTCCATGCTGGGAGATGAGTCTAAGGCGGTGCTGCCGCCGATGATGGGCGGCATGATGCAGCAATTGCCACCGCATGGCCAGCAACCGGACTTAATATACTACCCAGTGAAGAATGATTGACAGTCGAAGCACCATCAACAGCAAGCTCAGCAGCCGAATCACCATCACCACCACCGCTGGTGGACAGAGCCAGCCAAGAGAGGCGATGTTTTTCATTGAAGAAACAGACAGAAACAGGAAACGGAAAGCGGAACAAGTTCGTTTAGATTGTAAGTGTAGGGGAAATAGTGTGGAGTATGCGGGGACTCGAGGAGTTGTATGTAGATAGGGCAATCCACACACATGTTTTTTTGAAATTAAGAGCAATAACATAAAGATTAGAGCGGCAGAAGAGCTCAGAATTTTAAATCCGACCGGCGCTATGATACGTGTATAAAATGTAATCATTTACAGAGAATACATCAAATAAATAGAAGCATGTATACATAACTAAAGGCAGACATATACATAGTAGCATCTAAGCAAGGCAAAGTAAAACCTAAATTAAACATACAAATAGTAAACGTATATATATATATTTGAATATATATATAAATTATATGAAACATATAAATTAACCTTAAGAAACTACTAACAATAACGCAGACCACAAGCAACTTTCGAACAAATTTTATGCTTATTTAACATTTTACCATACGAGTTATATGCACACAAATACGTACGTGTTGATGTATAATCAAAACAATCCAACATTATATTCATACATATGATATCTACGGAGACCACGACCGCGAGAGACCCTTATATATTGTAGATGATTGATTGAGTTGAGCGTGGATCCCCGGTCAGGCATCACAAACAATAACATTAACAATACAAAAGTACACGACGCTTCGAGCCCGGGCCCAGCGCCACACAAAGTTGTAACCATATCATGAGGCCCCTCCCCTTCCCCCTATAATTAATTGTATTCTCGATAGTGCTTGTTATTTTCTATTTAGTTAACGAATTGATTATGCTACGGAGCCTTTCTGCTGAGCCACACTTTTGTTAGATTAGTGCCTAAGTCTAGTTGATATCCCCATGTATACCCCCGACATCTTGTGGCTTTTTACACCCAAACCTTGTACATCTTTAAAGCATTTCCGATTATTTTTTTCTCCCGAGCTCCCACAATTCTACTTGCGATTATTTACACTTTTTAACGAATTTCCTTAAAATTCAAGACGGGCCCCAAACAAAACATTTAAGTTAATCACAGAGTTGTTCTTGTTTTACCAATTATTCAAATTCAACTTAAGAATTGTATATTTAAGTGAAAGTTTAAAACGTTAAATGTGTAAGGATACTTTTATGGACAACAAAAAATAAAACAAAACAAAAAAAAATGAAACCAACAACAAACTTCACTAAATTAGGTTTGTATTCTGGATACAAAAAATAAAAAACAAAAATAAGCAAAACGGACATTAAAAAGAGCAAACACAATATAAAACAAAATTTGTATATTTAATAAAAATAGCAAAATAAATAAACTTCTTTTAAAAAATTTACAAATACCGTCTTTCGCTGCCAGTTACTTCCCATTTATTTAAAAAAACATTCAACAATTTACATTAGTTAACACCGCCCATGAGATTGACCATCCGATTTTTGTACCGCTTCGATATGTCCTTCTCAATATGGGACTGCAGGACTCGGGTCTGGGCCACCAGCTCGTCCAGAACAGGGTTGAGCTGCTGTCGCTGCTCCCGCAGCTCGACGGCCCGTCGCTTGAGCGCCTCTCTCGTGGATCGCAGCTTCTCCACCGCCTTGGTCATTTGCTGCAGCTTGGTGGCCAGCAGATTGGCATACTTGGGCGAGTGCTTCAGCTGGAAGAGATGCCGCGTCTGCTCATCCGAAGTCTGTTGAATGATTTTCTCCACAGAGCTTAGGATCTTCTTGATGCTCTCCGCATCGTGGGTGGTGATGTTGTCCATCAGTGAGAACATGATGTCGCTCGAAGACTCCAACTGCTTCAGCTCGTAGAGGCGCAGGCGCAGGAATGATTCCAGTTCGTAGATTTCGTCCAGGAAGCGATCGCGATAGTTGGGCGAATCCAGCAATGTGTAGGCCTGATCACCTAGGACGAACGAAAAGAGTTTACTCTTGGCTCGAGCTGGCCAGATTCCCTTATAAACTACTTACCTTTGGCCGTGCCGCCGTCCATACCAGTTCCCTCGACCACGATTCCGTACTCCTCGACCGGAATATCAAAGTTTATTTCCACAGCTGCCGCGGGAGCACTTTCGATTCCCCAGTCGATGTTGGCCCCGTCCGTTTCCTGCAAATCCACACTCCCGAAATCTCCATAGTCAATTATCTCCGCCGAAACGGTTGATGATGTTCCGCCACCATTGTCGTCCGTTCCAAAGTCAATCTCGGTGACAACGTTATCCTCCCCCTTTTGAACGATGCCTTCGCTTAGATTCAACCTAATCGGTGGTTCCTCCACGGCAAGTGGCGCCTCCTTGTGAATGTACTGATACACGGTGGTGTTGCCGAACTCCACCAGGTGGCTCAGAATGGGCAGTGGCTGCTTGTGTCCGCTTACTTCAGCGTACAGATCGATTCCCGGTTGGACTTTGGCGATATCGTCCAGAGACTTGGTGTACAGCTTGGGCAGGCCTGCTAAAACCTCTATAAACTCCGCATGCAGATTATCCCCCTTGACGCCCAATTGCTCCAGCAGCGCTGCGTGCTCGGCCAAGAGCTGGGTCTCCGGTTTGTTTAGATCATGGGCTCGCTTTTGGCTCTCGTCGGTCTGCTGCTCCAGCTTGGTCATTTGCTTGCGCACCCCGGGAATCTCGTAGTTAACGTTCCGCACAAATATCTGCGCCGTTTCCGCTAGGTAGACGGCGTTCTTCTCGTACAGGCGACTGATCTCCTGCCAATCCTTCATGCGCTGGCTGCCGTAGGTGCCGAACACACTCTTGGTGTCCTTTTCCGTTTGCTTAAGAATCTCAATGATCTCCTTGACATGGTAGTAGTTGATATCTAGAAAGGTGCCCAAGTCTAATTATCTGAACCGCTTTCAGGCCTGGCGCCACTTACTTGTATTCGCCAATAGCTTAATTAGTTGCTCGTTGGAGGGCATGTCCTGCAGGGCATTGCTTATCTTCGTGTGAATGTCCCTTATCTCCTGTTGAACATTCTTGGGCACGATCCTTCGGCTGATCAGCCAATCCTGCAGCTTCAGCGTATGGATGTCGATGGGGATCTCGGACTCCTGTTCGGGAGTACAGAGTAGAAAACGGTGATGAACATTTTCGGAGAATTGTTTTCAAAATAAACTTACATTCATTTTTACTGTGTTTGTCCACGCAAGCTGTTTTCTAGAGCTGGAAAAACAAAGATGTTCATATCGATAACAACAATGAATATATCGATTGCATCAACTTTCTTTCAAAAATCCAAATTTTTCCCCTGACATTACAGTATACTTTTAAGCGAGTAAAATTATATATTTCGGGTCATTCGACAAGACTCATTTAAATAAATATGTTTTTTGTCAAAAAAAAAAAAAAAAAAATTAAAAGTAATAAAAATTGCATATTTAAATTTATTTTTTCACAATAGACTGCAATTCGCGACTCCTTATTCCAAAAGACAAAGTAAAATATTAATATGTAATCCGTACGAGCTTATGACTTCTGACTAAAAATATATGTAATTCCTTGCTGGTATAAAAACATCTGGTTCTTGAAAATTAGGGCTTAAAATGGCCAAAAGAGATACGTCTATCTTCAAAATAATTGATATGTAAAATTACATAAATTAAGTTTATTTACCAATTCCCTTCTAGATATTAACTAGTAATAATTACAGACCGTATGTCTGGATTAACTGTGCTGTTTATATTAAAACCAAATATTTAAACTGAGGCTAAAAAGGTTAATATCCAGAATTTTTTTCTTTATGTTTAACTAAGATAGTGGTTTTCGTGAACAAATTAAACGAATTGATTAATGATTTTTAGTTTAATACTTAATAATACTAGTTTACTTATTACTTTATTAAAAATATACACAATGGACAAAATGCTGTCACAGTGTAAACGTGGCTTAAACATTTTACCTTAGCGATACTTAGGAACTATCGTCGTCATCGATCAATCGATAACCTCAGCCCGCTCGATCGGCGGCTTGGCGTCCATATTGAACTGTGTATTTAAGGACTGATCAAAATAGTGCGTTCTTCTTTGTTTTTCACGTATCTAGATGTCGTTATAGATTTGTCAAAATTTGTAGTATGTCGAGTGCGTCCTTGTTTGTTTGAAGTCAGATACAATCGCTCGGTGTTTGTTTTACTGTGGCGTGGGTTACCACTGCAGATTGAAGATCGCGTGTGGATGCAAAAAAAAGAAAACAGTTACGTTGGTTTCCTAGAAGTTTGCACAAAGGCAGGTGTGTCTTGGTTACGGTGACGTCAACGTTTTCGCGTTCGCGTCGCCTCAAGCTGACAAAACATAATGGACCTCCAGAGCTGGGAGAAGGTCCTTCTTCAGTGGGTAAGTGCCGGAAAGTGGGTCACGCAGTGCAGCAAGTGCAAGTAGCTTATTACCTCTGGCATTGCAGATCCACACCTTCGGATTCACGAAGTCAAACTATATCACACTAGAGCAGACCGACATCGATTCGTTCTTCGCTTATTATGTGCAGAAGGCCCAGGTGGAGCCTGTGCCAGTGGTGGAGGTTGCGCTGCAGGCTCAGCCAACACAACACCTATCGCCCAATGAAGCCTCTCCAAGGCAGAGCACGGCCTTGCAGGCTTTTCTTGGAGGTAAGAGTAATTAACTTATAATTGAATTTTTTTTATTAATTTAACTAAAATATTTCCATAATTTCTGCAGAAATGTATCCCGAGTTCAATGGAAACTTGGATGGCCGAGGGCAACTGGTCGGGTCAGACTACCTTTACATATACTCACTGCTCCTGCACTACAAGTGTGTGAAGCAGCCCAGCGCCTCCTTCCACAGCATCTGCAAGAAGCTCCCAGTTCTAGCGCAGTCCTGCATCTGTGAATTCTTTCAGCAGACGATGAATATACACCTGACGCGTGAGAATCTCAGTCAGGCTATCGCCAACGTGAGCAGCATGTTCCTGGCCCCGGGCGCTGCAGAGATCAAGCCATTTCGAGCCACCAGCTCGCACAGTCTGGACAGCGATGGCAGTGGTCACAGCAGCAGCCTCGGCGAAGATGCTTCGGATCTGCCCATTGACTTCCTCGGGCCTATCTCTTCTCCGTCGCCAAGGACAATGCCGCCACCTGCGACGCCCAAGACAGAGCTGCTGGAACAACGAACCAGAGAGGTGAGGGGACTTCAGGCGCAACTAGAGGCGGAGCGATACGAAAAGAATGTCCTAGAGGAGCAGATCTTGGAGAACGAACATCTCATTAAATCCCTGAGAAAAGGTAAGCACAGAAGCATTTATGGAAATTGCATGCTAAATTTACAATTGTTTTTTGCAGAAAACAAGATGAAAAAATTGCAACTGGCTAAACTAAAGGATAGCAGCGAGAATGAGGATGAAGATTCGATTCGAAAATACGTTCCAAATGAGTTCGATCACGTAGGTAGTAGACATCACCATGTGGTGGCAGGTAGCAGGAACCATAAACTAATAAACATTTACTCCAACTTCAGTTGAAATGCAGCCTGATGAAGGAGATCAGCCAGAAGGAGGCCCTTATAACGGAGACCCGTGATAAGCTGCAGGATTTGCGCATTGAAAACGCGGAGCTGCGTAGCAAGGTAGGATACGATAATTAAAACTACCTGCCTCATCTGATAGATGTGGTGTAGAGCACACATAAGTAAAGAAAACAACATTTTCCATTTCCATTTTTATGAAAATCGGTCCGCGTGCCGAAGTTAGCTTCCTTTCTTTATTAACGTTTTTCTAGCCTGAATTTAAAGTTTATATTTTAATAGTTTTATTATGCTTTCTTGTATTAAATAGGTAAAATCTTCGACGGAACAGCTGGTGGTGTGCATGGACCGCATCAGGGATCTTGAGGTTCGCCAGGAAGAGATCGCCCAAACACTCGCAACAAAAACAGAGCAAGTTGACTGCCTGGAACGTGACAAGCAGGAGCTGGAGCAGTGCTTGCAAGTCACCCGCGATGAGCTGCACAATCGGCGCGAAGTGCTCAACTCTTCCTCAGATCTGCTAGATTTGCCCATGTCGCCGAACACTACGCCCGAGAATCTGGCCGACTCAGTGATTGACAAGCAGCTGCGGGAGAAGGAGCACGAGAACCTCCAGCTGAGAGAAGAGCTCCAGGAACTGAGCAAGTCCCTGGTGGCCATCCTAGAGGAACACGGCTTGGCAGTGACAGACAACTCTTCACAGCTGTCGTCCAGTATTGGCGTTGTCAAGGAGGAGTTGACCAAGTCAGTACGCCTTATTGAGCTGCGCGACAGCCAGCTACTAGAGCAGAGCCAGCTGCGCGATCTAGCCCTGGCACAATGTGAGAAGCTAGTTGAAGAGGGCCGTGAGCATGCCAAGGAACTGGATGAGATTAAGGCGCAGTACGAGCAGCTGCGCGATCAAGCCCTGGCACAATGTGCAAAGCAAGTTGAAGAGGGCCGTGTGCATGCCAAGGAACTGGAGGAGACCAAGGCGGAGTACGAGCAAAAGTTAGCTAGTCAACTGTCTAGCCTGAAAGCCTTGGAGTGGGAAAACGATGAGGCCCGGTTAGCCCTTAAGCAGGCAACTTATGAGTCTGCCCAAGCGGACGAGCACCTCCGCCAGATTAAGGTGCAGTTGGCCGAAAAAGAGGAGCAGATGACCCAACTGGGCAACGAAATCTCGGAGCTGCGCGAAAAGAACAAAACTCTTGAGAGCCGCACCGACTCCCTGATCAACGAACGAAACAGCGGAGTCCTGCAGCTACATCAGGAGCAGCGTCGCCAGAAATATGTGCGTAACAAGTACGCGCAGTGTCGGGACCAGCTGTTGGCCCAGAGCTCAGACATGGATCTGTTGTCCAGAAACCTGGATGCTTCCGACAGGAAAGACATGCTTCGGAGGGTAGACGAACTGATTGCCGCCAAAGAAGAGCTGCGGCAGCAGCACGAGGCCCTAAAGTTGGAGCATAAGAAGACCGAACAGGAAGCTCTGGAGCTGAAGGATCGCCTGCAGCTTGGCGTGGAGCTGCAGCAGTGTGTGCAGCAGAGCCACGAGCAGCAGCAGGCAGACCTTCAGCAGCAACTACAGGTGGCGAACGAGCGAATAGAAGCAATGCGGCAGCGAAATCTGCAATTTGTTGAGCAAATCCAGACCGATCTCAACAGCCAGCTGCATAGCTCCCAACAGGAGGTGGAGAGCTTCCTGTCCCGAATCACTGCGCTCGTGAATGGCGGCCAAGTCGTTGTTAAATCGGAGGAGAATGGTTGTCAATTGTCCAAATTCCAGCAGTTCGAATCTATGCTTGTTTCGTCTCTTCATCAGCGATCTCTGGAGGTGCAAGCCCTACAGACAAAGGCGGATCAATTGCTTGAAAAACTGGACACGGTTCAACGTCAAAACGATTCAATGCTAGAGGCGGAGAGCCAACTAAAGGTTTCAAGGATTAATCAACTTAAGCTCATGGCATCTCTGGAAGCCAGTGCTGCAAAGTTACGTGTCACTCTGAACCACAAGGATGGCGAGATTGCAGCTAAGAACCAGCAGGTGGCCGAACTGCAAGGACAACTGGCCAGCGATCAAGCCAGCAGCCTTCTGCTCAAGCAACTCAATGACACCATCCACAATCTAGAGCAAGTCAACGAAAAGCTGATCGATGACAACGCCAAGCTGGAGAGCCTGCACATGGAGATAAGTTCTTCCCTGTTGACAGCCAACGGCGAGGTTGAGCGTCTGACGAACGAACTGTCCAAGTGCCAGACTAGTCTGACCGAGATGACTGCAGCGGACAAGCTAAAAGCCACTCAGTTGTCCGAGAGCGAGAAGGAGCTGCTTAAATTACAAGATCAACTAAACGAAATAAGCTCGAAATATTCCGATTTGGAGCAGCACGTAGACCACCTTAGGACTCTGAAGTCAGACTGTGAGAAGCGCTGCCAAGAACTCGTGGAGAAGTTAGCGGAGAAAGAGTCCCAATTCTCGCAATTAGGCATGCAACATGAAACACAGCTCGATGGGCTCAAAGCAAAGCTCAAGGACGCCCAGTTTAATATCGAACAGCAGCGCCAGGCGATCCTGACCGATAGAGAGGAAATCTACAAGTACAGGGCCCAGCTGGCGGATCTCGTCAAAGCTCGGGACCAGTCCCAAGAAGAGATGACAAAGCTGCGCGGTTTATTATCCGAAGAGGAAAAGGAAAAGCAAGAGCATCTGAAAACAATAAAAAATCTGCTTGGCAATGAGCAACAACTCACTCAGAAGATAGATAAATTGATGGGCGAACACTCCGAAGAGCTGCACCGTCTGCAAGCTATGCTCATGGAAAAGCAAGCGGTCATGGCTCAGCTAAAAACCCAGTTGTCCAGCGCCACAGAACTGGCACAGGCGAGGGCCAAGCAATTGACACAGGCTGAGCTGGCGCAGGTCGAACTAGCGGCTAGTTTACAGAGCGAGAAGGCGATGGCGGAACAGCTGCGTGTTGAAGAAGAGGAAAAGAGTTCGGCTGCTTACGAGCGCATTGGAAAGCTGGAGAAGTTGCGAGACATCCAGGAACACAAGGCTCGGCAGCTAAGCGACCAGCTAGCGGAAGCCGATCAGATGAAGGTGAGCCTGAACCTGGAGATCGGAGCCCTGAATTCTGATATTGAGCAGCGCAAGCGTCAGATGGCAGAGCAGGCTAGCCAACTGTCTGCCAAGCAGAACGAGATTGCCGAGTTGGAATCCAGACTAAAGTCTGAGGTCGATCAACACAAGCTGGTTAAGGTGGAACTAGAACAAATCACAGTAAAACTAGCCGAAGTCCAGCAGGAGCTTAATAGCACACGGTTAGTCCAAGACACGCAGCACTTCGAGCTAGATGAGAAGACGCGCGAGATGGAAATGGAGCGCGCCGATTCCGCAGAACGAGTCCGCTTCTACCAGCGACGTATCGATTCACTCGAAGGGCAGTTGGCCGAGGTACAGGCCGCCAGCCAAACGCAGGAACAGGCTCAGGGCCCAACTGATCTGTGCACAACCTATAGCAAGGCAGATTGCCCCGCTGCCGCATCGGACGATGAGCTTGTTCAGCTGCGCCAGGAGATGGCCAGAAGCAAGCTAGACTGCCAGATTCTTCAGGCCAAGTATCGCGAGACCAAGGAAGAGATCCAGCGCTGCGAGCAAAAGATCAAGGATCAGCGTCTGGAAATGGAGGGCAAGCTGGACAAGATGAAAACGAAGATGGTATGTCATTGTAGAGTATTCAAATGCGATTCTAACACCGAAACGGGTTCTGTCAAGGTGGAATGCCCGGCGTGGTCAAGGGGTGTGCGAAACGCTTTCAGTTTTCTCATTCACCGGCTGTACTGTGCTTCCACGTTGAGATTCGTTTCTGCTGTTGTGTTTCTGTTGCACTTTACCGACCCCAGATGATTGAAAATGTTTTTTTCCAGTCAACTATTGTTATAAATTGTTGTTTTCACTGTATTTATATTTGTACAAAGCATTTGATTTGAAAATGAAGTGTATACCCTTCCAGTCGATAATCAGACGTTTGTTAAGAGTCGAAATAAACTCATAAATGTTTTTCTATATATAGATATATGTTGGCCATATATACTACATGTGGAATGTATCGACAAAATTAATTTATATTTCGAATTCCATTAAGGTTTAACGATTAAATAGAATCCGGCTTATGAAGCACATAGCATGATGTTGTGACTTATGTACATAACTGCAAGGGTTTAAACTTGCACTTGACGAATATTAATATTTTGACATCTGGGAAAGTGCATTCTAGAGTTGATTTGTTACTTATGATTGTGCATATCCTTGCTTATGTACCTTTCCTACTAACTTGGCTAAAGCTAGTGGAGGATGTTGTTGTTGGTAATGTAATCATTGTGTATGTGCCATTTATCCTGCCTACGCTTGTCTTCAAAATTGATATTAAATGTGTATGCATGTAAATTACCAGGGATCGCAAATAAGATTGAGTAAAACAAAAATTGATCAGAAAACTGCTATTTTAAAAATTGAAAACGTTAAATTACAATAACTTTAAAACAGGGCGGTCTACGTTTCAATACATTTTAAATTTTAAAATAAAAGTTATTTGTAAATTTTTAATTTAATCTTATCTGCGAATCCTGTAAATTACATTAAAAAAACTCTCTTCTGAAGGCAACATTAATTCGACAATCAGCTTGAAAATCACATATTGTCTCAAGAAGTACACTTTGCTATGATATCACATCATAGTGGTCTAATGTTGCTGCCTTGCTATGTAGACTCTTAGATCAATTGCCATGACATGGAATCTAAAATCATTTCTTCCCTCTCTATATCTCTCTCTCCATTCAATTCCATCGAAAACACAACTCAATCCCGAATAAATCTCCATCCTCATCCTCGATCCCAAATCCCTGCGATTCCCATTTGCTGCCTGAAGACCCAGACGCACTTGTCGGTCAACCCGCGTGCACCTGGCGTCATCGGGAACAGCGGCGGCACAGGAGGGGCAGCAAGGGCAATGATAGCAGCAAACGCAGAAGCAGCGTCAATGGTCAGGAACATGAACCAACCACGCCGGCAGCATGCAGGCATTCAATGCCGCCGTGGTCGCGACCGCCGCTGCATAAGCACACGGATGGTCTTGTTCCTGGCCAGCGCGCAGGCAGTATTGATGGGCATCGTGCATATGATTCTGTACCACAATGACGTTGACCTCCAGCTCCACTACCGCAACCCCAGTCAGTTTTAGACTTTGACTGACCTGTAGCTGTAATGTTATATAATTTTGTAGTTTTGTTTGTTTACCTTTGAATTCGGTTTCTGTATTGTATGTATAATTACGTACCTAGTTTATATTTAATAAATATGCAACAAGCACATGCCTTCTCTGAAACGTTGCGCCTGCGCTTCATTTGTTATTGCTGTCCTCACTTTTGTCTCCATCACACTCCCACTCCACATATGTATCCACGCTTTGGTCCTTGATACACACCAAATGTAGCGCTCCTTGTACACCGCGGAGGTGACTCGCATGAAGGAGAAGCAGGAGCGGGATGCGGCTAGCAACAAGGCGGAGCTCGAAGCCCTGACGGCGCAGGTAATTATAATTAAATAAAATAAAAAAATAAATTAAATAAATTAAATAATTAAATTAAAAAAATAAAATCAAATAATAAATCAAACAAACTTTCAAGAATAGTTTAATAATTCTGTTCCCTTTTCAGAATGTCAAATACGAAGAGCACACGCGCAAGCTGTCCAACCAGATTGTCCGGCTCAACGATAAGATCCTAGAGCAGCAGAAACAGCATGCCATTATAAGCACAAAGCTACGCCACCTTCAGATGCAGCCTCCAGTCAACGCGACCAAGGTCCCTGCGTCCAGCCATCTGGTTACGGTCAATGCCAGCTCATCGGCTGGCAATGACGACTGGCAGCCATTTAAGAGACCCAATGCCCCGTCCTCCAATCTGACAATGGAGGATGAAGAGGGCGAAGTATTCAACAATACCTACCTCACGGACCTGAAGCTGGGACGGGTTCCGGACATAACGTAAGTGGACCATGACAGAATATAATATATATTTCCTATCTAAACTGTTTTTAATTTGTATTGCAGGGCCGAGGAGTTGAACTATCGAAACTCATTGCAGCCGCCGCATTTGAAGAGCACCTATGCCGCCCAGTACGACCTAAGCAGCCAGGATGAAGATCTCAAAGTAAGCACTAGCGCCACTAGCAGCACACCAATTGGTAGTAGGAGCAGCTCGAGCGGCACACCCTTGAAGGCGCAGCCAGCAGCCAAGAGGGCACAATGGGCTCGAATCTGGCACAATCGCTCACGGAAGTAGAGGGTCCTTGAGCCATCAGTCTCTGCCTAAGTAGCTGCTGCATTCGTCAAAACGAAATATTTTATACCAGACACTCTGAAGACCCCCTCAAGGTCTTTGAAAATATTATAAATAGATTTAATGACTCGATTTGTAAATAAGCAAGGACAACCGAAGGACATAAAAAAATGTATACAGAATATTTTCTTAACATGCCTACGTTCAGATTCTCTCTGAGAATACAACACTCTAGATTTTCTCTCTTTCTGAAAAGTTGTCCCGTCCAAAATGTGAAGTCCAGTGTTTGCAGTATCCGTTTCGCTTCGTTCCGTTCTGTCTTCTGGTTATTGATTTTTGTTGTATAACTAATAATGTGTTGTAATTAACAATTCAGTCCTTGTCTATCGTTTAATTTGTCCTACTTTATTTTAAAGATAAACCGTAATTTCTTGTATATTCATTTGTAGGATGGACCCCACAGTCTCGATGACAGCATGTGCGCCCTGCTCAGCTCAACGGGCACTGGGACACGCAAAAAGTCTATAGGTACCCACTACAAGCGTCCTGGACCGCCCACGCCTAGCAAGAACGGAGGACGGTTGTCCTTTGGCAGCTCGGAGCCACCGCGTGAGGTTCTGCGCGATTGCAGCGACCACAATAGTAACTCCAAGACACCGGCGCGCTTTAAATTCCTCACAACACGGTTCAGCGTCGGCAGCAGCGGCCTGCCCCGGGACGAGGTAAGTTTCCGTCTGGAAACAAGTAGAATTGTGAGATTCAATGTTTTGGTTGTTGTTGGTAGATTGTGTATGTATGCCCATGTGCCCACTCGAACACGATATAGTCTAGGAGGAATTTTTTGAGGTATATTTTAAACTTTTTTTTAGAAGTGACTTTAAAACATAGCAGTCCAAATTGGATGGGTTACCTTATACATTAGTGGACAGACCTATGAAAGGTGTAAACAGCCATTTTCATTCACTAAACGTTGTTTTCTGAGTCCGTTTGCGGAGATTTATCCAGATTTAAATCGTTTATAAGTCCATTGATGAACATTTTGCAACTATTTTGTTTAGAGATAGTTTTTGTTTACTGAATACATTACACAGGCTGACAAAATTTCAAAAAGTCGCAGAACCGAGAACTGAAATATACTTTTCCGAGAGTTTTTGCTGGGCTGAACTTGAATCCAGTCTCAGAAAATTTTTTATAACTCAGGTTTTCATCTTAAAAATGCTAAATATACAGTTTTTAAATACTTTTGAAGCGCTGTAACTTCAATACGTTACGCTATCAAAAAGTGCTGTTCTTGTTCTTCAAAATCAGTTCTTAAAATTTGGAAAATCTTTATGGATCTTCCAGATATCGTCTTGTGAATTTATATCGTTATTTTTCCATATATACTGTTAAATTCTTCATACTCAAAAATATATGAACAAAAAAATCTATATAAATTCAAGACAATATCAGGAAGACCAAAATGAATATTTTTTTCAAATTTGTAAACCTAAATTTTAAGGCAAGAAAAGATTTTTAAGATTCCTTTACGATTTTTAAGTAAAAATAAAACTTATTGAAGTTACTGAACCTCAAAAGTATCCAAAAACCGTATTTTCTACACTTTTTTTCGAATATTTTGAAAACCTGACGAATAAAAAAAAATTTCTGAGACCAGATCTGAGTTAAGCGTTTCAAATATTATCGGAAAAGTATATTCCGGCTCTTGTTTCTAAAAGGCTGTCGTTATTAGTACTTTGTGATTCAACAAATCTTTTGCAATTTCTAAAAGAAGTACAACAGAAGTATCTCATTAAGGGACCTAGTTTAGTTCCGTTTCATGTTATAGACTGATAGAATGTTAGAAATTTGTGTATATGTAGTGGCCTGTCTTCAATCTCGTTGCTTTGTTGTTATTGTCGTCCTTGTCAATGTGCGCTTCTATGTGGCTCAGTGCAGCCGGAAGTTAACAACAATCGAATACCAAATACCCTGGCATCTCCCACAGCTGCCTCAACGCAAGCGGTCGACTATATTGACCAGGTTGCAGCGCCGCAGGCTGCAGCGTCAGACGGCAGATGCGTTTTGCACGTCGACGCCTCGCAAGAGCCGCTCCTACTATGATCGGCAGCGTCTGATCGGTACGGTTTTTTCGGACGAAGAGCAGATTGAAGTAGTGGACAACAGTGGAGAGCAGACAACTCCACATCTGTCCAATGGAGCGCTGCTAGCCCTGACCCAAGGGAATACCCGAAGGATCACCGTCACACCCACCACCAAACGCCAAGCTCGCCTTCCGCTTTACCTGCATGGCAACGGTACGCCAAAGTTAGGCATTTCTGGCGAGCGGATGCGTCAGCGGCGGAAAATGAATCGGGAGCGGATGGCCCGCTTCGATCAGGACCGACCCCTCGACCAGGTTCGCCTATCCGATCGCATTTCCTGTTCGGGGAGGCCTTCCCAAATTCTGATGGGAAATACGGTGGTGCTGGACGATGGAAGAGGAAGGAGATCCGTTGTAGGCGTTACTTTTAAGGTGGACGATTCCTTGCAGCTGGAGGTACAGCAGTTCGAGGCTGACAACATGTCCAAGTGGACCCCGGGCAATGAGAGCAGTGAGGTGGGAGACTGTCGTTTCGAAGAGCTGTGCAAGCGGAAGGCGTCCGCGGCCCCTTTTCATGTGCAGCCTACCGTCGGGGTGGCGGATTTGCAGGCAGTCGAGTGTTCGACCCTCTTCCGGACTTTTGCTTGCCAGGAGTGGCAGCGAGTGATCCTGGTAGTGTCAGGACTCTCGGTCGTTGTGGCGCTGTTTTCGCTGCTGGTGCGGGCTTGGGTATAGGAAAACCAAAGCAGTGTAAATCTCTCAATATTCCTTCTGAAGCCATTTGTTCCTTATATTTTTGTCGGCTATTTAATTTCAGAACTCGCCACCTAAGCGACGCCTCAGCAACATGTTCAAGCGCAAGGAGCGCTAATAATGTATATAAATGTAAAGCAACTGGAAAAAATATGAAAATAAAATAATATGTATAAATATTGACAAAAGATTAAACGTTATGTGTTTCTGGAAGGGTTGATGAATGGATCATTTCTAAAGATGGGTTTAATGGGGTACAAGAAAATTTGCCTTGAGGGGTCTAAAAGTTCTATTCTCAGCTCAATAAAGCTCTTCGATTAGGGCTAATTAGTTAGTTAACCTTTCTAAAAGTCCTTTAAGAATATTCTTATAAATCATAAATATTGGTAACATTTTTGAACAATTGTATTGTTTCTAGTTTACAATATTTACAAAATTAAAAAAACAAATATAAAAGTAGAGGTATCAACTTTTGATAGTTTTATATTTTAGCTACTTCACTAATAAAAAACAGAGTAATTTGACTCTTAATTTAAGCTAAACACTTTTTCAACTAACAGACTATAGCTAGGTAATCTCGTCTGTTGATCAAGCTCAAAATAAAACAAGAAAGAAAGCTAACTTTGGCCAGTCAAAGTTTGTATACCCTTGCAGGTAACAATTAAAATATATCATAACTAAGCCAAAAATGCATTACTTTCGATTCGGAAAGCAGTTTTGTGTTAGTTTTTATTCATTTAAAAAAACTGCATACCAAATTTAAAATTTTAAGAAATCAAAATTGTTGGCCATTTTTGCTAATTTTAATGATTTATCAAATTTCGCAAAAATGGCCAAAAAATCGATTTCTTCCGGACATGTCTAGAAAGATTCGCATGTTAATGCTGATCAAGAATATATATGGTTTATGGGGTCGGAAATGATTCCTTGACTTAGAAAAATATTATTTTGTATTATAAAATCGGATTTTTTATATTAAAAAACTTCTTGATTTTTTTAAAATTAAAAATATCATAACTCGGCCAAAAGAGCATTAATTTTAAATCGGAAAACTGTTCTGTGCGAGATTTTCTACAGTTAATAAATCTGCATACTTCATTTAAAAATTTTGAAAATTCAATTTTTTATCAAAATCAATAATTTTAATGATGTAACCCCTTATAAAATTTTGCAAAAATGGCCAAAAAATCGATTTCTTCCTGACATATCTAGAAAGATTCCCCTATTGATGCTGATCAAGAATATATATACTTTATAGGGTCGAAAACGTCTCCTTCACTGCGTTGCAAACTTCTGACTGAAATTATAATACCCTGCAAGGGTATAAAAAATAATAGTTTTGCAATAAGTTTTATACTTGTTAAATTTTGAATTATTATTAGAAATTAAACATCAAAATAAATAATTTAAATGAGAATAATCAATTCTATTCTTAATATTCTATTTTAAAATTTTGGAATTCCACAAGTTAAAATACTCCACTAAAGAGGAAATAAATCCAATTTTTCCTGTCAATATAAAAAGTTGATTTAAAAACTTGAATGTTTTTCAACCAAATGCAAATAATAGCATTATCGAGATTTTCAAGCGTTATCGATAGAGTTTCATCGAGATTTTCCAGGCTTAGTTTTATTTGGTATTTCAGTTTGGTCACACTGGAGAAAAAAAAGCGGGAAGCCTTCAAAAACAAACAAATTTTATTATTTTATAAGTGCCAGTGTTCAATTTGACGTATGCGACCACCGCCGAAAAAAGGCGCTGCCAAGCGTCCGGTAAATGCACCCAAAGCCTCTTCGGGCTACGTCGACGACGACCACTCAGCCTTCCAATCACCAGAGGATGATGATAATGTCACAGACTATGGCCTGGAATTCACCACCAGCCGCCTAACACTGGAGGACGCCAGAAATCGACGCTGCTCGACGATGCGCAAGGACACATCAACAGCTCGAAGAACCCGAGCAGCTAACCGGACCGCCACCAGCGAAGAAGACATCGAAAATCGTTCGCCGGTGTCCCGATCACTGCGGACTCCTCAGAACACGAGGACTCCTCAAACGCAGCAGAGAAGTATTGCCCAGCCACAGGCAGCAGCGAAAGTCAATGCCAGTGGAGCTCAGAGACGTAAGATGGGCAGACCAGTAAACCACAGGTTAAAAATGGAGCGAGAAATCCGTCGGCTTCAGGCACATGCTGGCCTGCTAATTCCCCGGTTGCCGTTCTCGAGATTGGTACGAGAAATTCTCACTCAGTTGGCTGGCTACGAGGCAGGGATGAGGGTCACTCAGGGAGCCTTGGAGGTGATGCAGGAGTCGTCGGAGCTCTACTTGACGCATCGATTGCAGGACTCGTACCTTCTAACGATGCACCGCGGCCGCGTTACGCTGGAGGTGCGCGACATGGCTCTAATGGCGTTGCTGTGCAGTCATAATCGTCTTCTCTAGAATTAGGTATGTTTAAGTGAGTTGTTCTAAATGTAGTCATCAAAATGTTCCAGAACTAAGCAATGTTAATAGTTAGTCGTCTGTTCCCATTTAAATTATATTTGCACTTATTTTTGTCCTTTGTAACCTTTCACCTAGAATAAATACTTGTGAATAGCTTAATAGACGTTCTTTTTTTTTTTTTTAATTTTTCCTGAAGACCCTCCTAAAGAAAGACCGGTTTTCAAATAAGTCCTATGGTATATTTTCTGTTTTTAAACAAGGGGTAAGGTAAATCAAAAACTAAGCAATGGTTCCGTGCAACGATATCCTTAAGCGTTCCTTGGCCTAAGCTGAATAGTCATTGGCAATAGCTGTGGCATCGGCATCGTCCCTGAACATCTGAGCCACTTGGGCGCTGGGCAGGATCTTTTGGGAGCTACCAGTCTTCGTCTTGCGCCATATATCCCACTCAACCGGATGCATTTTCTTCTTGTGCGAGTGCATGTTTGCGTTGGAGTTGAATGTTCGTGGACAGAAGGGACACTTGTACAGGGGCTCGCCAGTGTGCTGGGCCATGTGCTCCTGCAAGGACAGACAATGTTCGTTAATGTCGAATGAGAATTCGAAACACCTTTGTTCCTACCTTGAGGCTGATGTCCTTCTTGAATGTCTTGCCGCACTGTTCGCAGGTGTAAATCACATTCGAATGAGAGTAGCGCTTGTGGCCGATCAGCGCCCGGGAGTTCTTACAGCTCTTGCCACACTCGGCGCAAATGAACAGTTTGCCCTCGTCGTTGTGGCGCCTCAAATGCTGCTTCAGGTTGTCCTCGTCCTTCAGCCAGCTCTCGCAGTCTGGACGCGGGCACTTGATGCGCGGTCCGCTCTCCTCGAAGTGCAGGCGAACGTGCTTCTCGAAAACGGCCTTATCTTTGATGGTCTTGCCGCAGACGTGGCAGATGTTGGCCGCCTTGCGATGCTGCATGCTGATGTGGACCTGCATGTGGTACTCCGTGGCGAAACTGTGAGAGAAAAGGATCTAGAGTACTGTTCAGGAGGGAGGGAAGGTTATACGCACGCATTGTGTTTGGGACACTGGGGACAGATGAACTTGCGCTCGTTCACAGGCACATGGGAGCCCTTGTGCAGCTCGAGCAGATTGCGGCGCGAGAATCGCTTGCCGCAGTCCTCGCACTGGAAATCGCACTCCTCGTCGGGCACGTGGTGGACCAGCCAGTGGGCGCGCAGAACACTCGAGTTGGCAAACACCTTGCCGCAGTCCTTGCATCTGGAGAGAAGGATAATAATTTAAAGCCAAGTTTGACAGAGGAACAAAGCCAAGACCCACTTGATGTACTCGGGGTTTTCATGCCTCCTCGCATGCTCCTGGATTAGACAGCGCTTGTTGAGCTTCCGCCCGCAGCATTTGATGTACGGCCGTTCGTCCGGATGCTTCTCCTTGAAGTGCTCGCGGATGCCGTCAAAGTCCTCGGCCAGAAAAATGCACAGCTCGCAGCCCATGACTATGTAGCGTTTGATTAGCTCTTCATCCTCCTTGCAGAACGGCGGTAGACGCTCCATCTTAAATATTCTCTTGGCTGGTCCGCGCTTGGCCACAATTTTGTCCTTGACCTTCCTGCCCGCCACTCCGGTCCGTTTCGTCTTGGCCGGCTTGGCCACCTCACGCTTGCGTTTGCGACCACTTCTGGTTACAATCAGGTCCTCGCCATCGTCGCCATCATCATCCTCGTTCTCGTCCTCATAGTCCTCGTCGCGATCATCATTGTTTGTATCCTCGGCCCCGAAATCCAATTCAGGGGTCTCTCGCTCGGTCTTGATGTCCACCTTGCTGTCTTCCGGGGACAGGCTCTGGCCGAGATCTAGCTCATCCAGTGGATTCACGTTCAGCTGGGCACTGACATCGTTGTCCACGGCTAGGACATCGGCCGGCATTAGGACCTCCTCCGGCCAGGAGGTGTTCACCATCTCCGGATCCTGCTTGAACTTGGAGGTGGTGGCGTAAATGACCTGGGCCTCCTGTATGGACACGTAAAACTGGTGGAACTCGGACACCTGCGTCCAGCAGACGTTGCAGATGACCTTCGATATCTCGTCGTTGGGCAGCACCTGCGGGCGGGTAGAGATCGGATCAGGATCATACCAGATATGGGAGGCGAGTCCCGTGAAAACGCACAAGGGGTAAATACATAGGTAAATGGGTGAGGTGAGGGCAGGCAGCCTTACCTCGAACCAGAAGTGCTGTCGCAGCACCTCCGCGACCTTGTTGTCCGCAGAGCCCGCATCGAAGATCTGCAGACACATCTGGGCACCGCTTACCCCGCGCAAACACAGGCGGCAGATGTCCATTTTGCATTTATTTAGGGAAATAAAACTATAATAAAAAGTAGTAATTTACATAGCGCTGCGTTGGCGATGGAACTTCTGCAGCTATCGCTGTGTCGTGCGTGAGTGGCGGCGAACGGTCATACTGCTGCTGCTCTCCCCCTTCGGCCACACTAGCTGGCATTTTCGCTGTATCTCCGGAAAATGCAGAATTAAACAGTCGGAAAATGAGCAAGCCAACAAATAAACCGAAGGAACCGGCGGCGGTGGCTGCAGCTGCCTCTGCCAGCTTGAAGGTAAGCCCCACGAAGATCTGCAATCCAACAGCCAAACCGAGAGCTTTGATTTTCAGCGGATAAGCGAGAAAAAGCTGGAGGCCTTTACGGTGGGCACGTTCTCGAAGCGGCAGTTGTCCAAGAAGGAAATCGAGGAGCAGAAGAAGAAGGAGGATGCGGCTGCTGCGGCACATGTAAGTATTGGGTGCCAAAGCCTGTTCTGCCAAGACCGGTTCTCCTATGGTTCTCCTTCCTTCAGGCCTTTGTTGAGTTCGTGGAGACGTTCCAAGACGCGCCCACACCCTCCTCCAAGGTGTGGGTCAAAGCCGGCACTTACGATGCAGGATCGCGGCGCGAGGACAAGACGGAGAAGGGAAAGCTCTATAAGCCCGGCTCCAAGCTGCTGGAGAAGAGCTCCGCTGAGAAGGCTGAGGAATATGCCAAAGTTCTGGCCTCGGATCTCAAAAAGGATGCAGGACCCTTGAAGAAGAAAAACCAGGAAAAGAAGAAGAGCAACTTGGAGCTGTTCAAGGAGGAGCTGAGACAGTAAACCAAACATTTAGTAGTGTCCAAGTGAAGCCTCTTAATAGAAGCTATTATTTCAGGATCCAAGAGGAACGAGAAGAGCGACACAAGTACAAACACCTGGCCGTGTCCCATGCCCCACCACCACAGCAGCCAGCGGCTGCAGCTCCAAGCAGCAGTGCCTCCACCACCACCTCCCAGGCCTCGAACAGCTCACGGGACTCTGGATCCTTCGATACCGGCGATCCAAACACCACCAACCTTTACCTGGGCAACCTGAATCCCAAGATATCCGAACAGCAGCTCATGGAAATCTTTGGGCGCTATGGTCCCTTGGCCAGCATCAAGATTATGTGGCCGCGTTCCGAGGAGGAGAAGCAGAGAGGTCGCAACTGTGGCTTTGTGGCCTACATGAGTCGCAAGGATGCCGAACGGGCGCTGAGAACACTCAACGGTCGCTACATTATGGGCTATGAAATGCGTTTGGGATGGGGTAAGGGTTAAAATGTCCTCGGAGAACAATTACCATAATAATTATCTTTTTTCCGTTCTTTTAATAGGCAAGACTGTGCCCATAATGAACACTCCCATATTTGCCCCACAAGCATTGCTGGAAATGACACTTCCGCCGCCACCATCTGGCCTGCCTTTTAATGCCCAGCCACCGCCAAGCGAAGCTGATGTTCTGCCCAAGAAAAACTACAAGGAGTTTGATAAAGATGAGGACAAGGAGAATATGGAGAGGGTGAGCATTTAAGAGTTTTTTTAGCTTCAGAAAATTGCATATAAATTTGGATTTTTTTTAGATTCTCTCCAAATGCGTGGTCAAGGTCCACATTCCCACAGAGAAGTAAGGACACCTTGCAAGGAATTATGCATTTTATAGAAACTTAATGATTACTTGAATTTAAACAGGGCCGTGCTCAATGTTATTCATCGCATGATCGAGTTCGTCATTCGCGAGGGACCCATGTTTGAGGCTTTAATCATGATACGCGAAATGGAGAATCCATTGTTCTCGTTTCTGTTTGATAACGAGAGTCCCGCTCACATTTATTACCGGTGGAAGCTCTTCTCGCTGCTGCAGGGAGACACGCCCAATGAGTGGAAAGAGAATGAGTTTCGCATGTTCAAGAACGGGCCGGTTTGGAAGCCACCCATTGCCAACTTCTATACCCAGGGAATGCCCGATGAGCTAGTGGTGGATCCCGATGCTCCTGTGGTGCATAAGGGCGCCCTGTCCAATGCGTATGTATCGGGATTTAGGGAGAGGATTCCCTTACCTAATTCTTATCATTCTTCAACAGTCAACGTGATCGTCTTGAGGATCTGATAAGACAACTAACCCCGGAACGGGCCCGCATCGGGGATGCCATGATCTTCTGCATTGAGCATGCCGATGCTGCTGACGAAATATGCGAATGCATTGCCGAGTCTCTTGGCAGCCTCAAGACTCCGGCATCGAAGAAGATTGCTCGATTGTATCTGATCTCAGATGTACTGCACAACTGCACGGTTAAGGTGGCAAATGCATCTTTCTTTCGCAAGTCGTAAGTTCTTAGAGTCTTAACCATTTTCTTACTTTTTCTTAAGAAAACTTTATCTTCAGCGTGGAGAAACAATTGATGGATATATTCGAAAATCTGCACAGCTATTACTCGAACATTGAGAGTCGCCTGAAAGCAGAGGGCTTCAAGTCCAGAGTCTGCAATGTCCTTCGCACCTGGGAGGAATGGACAATCTATCCCAAGGAGTTTATGGCTCAGCTAAGAGCCAAATTTCTGGGCAAACCGGTTCGTTACAATGGTCTTATTAATATTATTTATTCTTTATTATCCTCATTTTTTTTTCAGTATGTAATGCCGGCTAGTTCATCGCCTCAGGCAGAGGAAACACCATCTGAGGAGGCTTTGGAGGAAGATATCGATGGGGCCCCACTCTCTGGTGAGGAGAAGGATGACGAGGACTTGGACGGTGTCCCGCTGGACGGTGCTGCCTTGCTCAAGAGTGCCTTGAAGCGGGCCTTGCCAGATGCTGCCACGCCACAGCGAGGAACTCCCAAGAAGGATGAATACCTGGATGAAATAGATGGCGTACCTCGTAAGTCTCTGTTTAATAATTCAAAAACCCCACTTGATCTAACAAGAAATTCAATAAAATTCCAGTTGAAGAGGACTTTGATGGTGTCCCCATCGAAAAGGAAACTAAGCCTCACGTTAAAATGCCAGGATTTATACCTTCGAAATGGGAAACTGTTGACCCGCAGCAAGTGGAAGCCCAGGCTATTACCACCAGCAAGTGGGACACACTCGATCCCCCGGATCCGCCCAAGTTTTTCAGTTCCGATGATGAAAGCGAGGATGACAACTCCCAGAAGTATAACGATGAGAAGCGTCAGAAGCTGCGGGAGATTGAACTCAAGGCCATTCAGTACCAGGACGAACTGGAGTCGGGCAAGCGGCGAGTGGAGCCCGGATGGTCGGTGGCAGAGCAAGTGGAGTATTTCCGCAAGCGTTTGCTCAAGCAGGTATGTTTTTATTTCATTTCTAAAATGTCAATGTGTTCAATGTCTTCGAAACCCCCTCCAGGACTCCAGATCTGATTCTGCCGTGGATTCTCCCTTGAGCTACCTGCACGCAAAATCAAAGAGCTCCAAGCTTGGTGAAAGCCCTGCTCAGCCAAGCAGTAGCACTCTAAAAAGGTCACACTCGCCCTACGCAGAGGCCAAGCGTCGCGAATACTCGCCGACCAACTCCCGCTCCTCGAAATCCTCCAAGCGCCATAGGTCGCGTAGCTCGTCTGGATCACCGAGGCGTTACTCAGAGCGATCAGCGCGCAGCTCCCGTAGCTCTCGAAGGTCTACGTCTCCCTCCGCCTCGCGGTCTAATCGAAGAGAAGATTCGCCTCCCTCGAAGCACAGCAGCGATAAGCACAAGCGCAAGCATAGGCACTAGATTGTATGACTTTTAATTAAAGGACTTAATTAAACGTAAATTTCAGATAAAAATCCATCAGCCGTTGGTTTTAAATACACAGTATATATATATTTTAATTAAAACTAAGTGGTTCGTTAGGATGTGGGACACAACACGGCACAGGAAGTTCGATTCCGCTCTGCGAATTTGCCTAAAAACACGTATCTATGCAAGCCATTTCAATGAATATGAACCTTAAGGAAAGCCGGCCGACCAACCCATGGTACCCCAGATATACCCAATCCCGGCCGATCCTCAAACTACCCGAACCGAGCCGAACTGAACCGAAAGGCTATGCAAGCAGTGGTGATTATCATAGGGTGACGAATACATGGATTTTGCTTAAAAGTAGATGCGAACAGCCTCCTCGGCATTCTGCTCCACGGGGCAGTAGGGACACTTGAGTATGTGCCCATTGCTGAGCTTGTGGAGGGCGTCGTTGGATATGACATGGCCGCACGTCAACTTCTTTGGCGGATTGTCCTCGGAGGTCTGCTGGCGCAGTATGGGGCAGGCGAAGATTGAGTGGAAGCGGAATTCTGGCTGCAAATCGATCTCGATGGGCAGCTCGTCGCAGCCGTTCCACATGCTCAACACCTGGCGCGACTGCATCACCTGCTTGATGTTAAGCAGGGCGGGCAGGGCAGTGCATCCGGCGTTCACCACGACGGACAGGGCCGAGTTCTTGCTGATGCCCAGCAGCTGGCAAGCGTCCTTGAGGAATATGAACGATAGCTCGGTCCACATTTCCTGGCCCAGGAAGTGCTTGTACGGTGAGTTCTCCAGGCCACTCGGCAGATATATGAAGCTGGCCATCAGATTGGCTATCTCGTGCTCGTAGCGCACCGCAAACTTCTTGAAATTCATCCGGGCGTAGCAGATGGCCTCGCGCTGCGAATCCAGGCCGTAGGACACCAGTTGCATGAAGCGCATGCGGTGCAGCCGGAACTCTATTAGCGAGTGCCGGTCGCTCAGTTGCTGCGAGTAGATCTTGGCCCACTTGAGGGCGTCGGTAAGGTCCCTCTTCTGTATCTTTACCCACATGCTGTAAATGGCGGCAAACTCCCGCTCCGAGTCGAACACATCCTGGGCATGATTCTCGGGCATTTTGCACTCCCGGATCAGGGTGCGGGCCACCTCGTCCATGCCCTGGCGGCAGTAATGCTTGGCGATGGCCTTGTTCAGCAGCATCAGGTTCTCCTCGTTCTGCAGTACGTCCACGCGCATGGTGGAGGTGAAGTCGGCGCTGAAGTTCCGGTCAATGGCCTTGCCGATCTTCGAGATGGAGCCGTGTAGATCGCGGTGGTCCGTCGACAGCTTTTGCACCCGATCATTGCACTTGACGATGGCATCCCTGATGATCTCCATCTGACGTTCGGTAAGGCGCTGCGGGGCAGTCGGTTCCGTCTCCACCTGCATACTAACCCCGTCGCCCATGGGATCGTCCACGCTGGCCGGAGTCGCATTCACCTGTGTGCTCGAGTTCAAAGTGGTCACCGCCTGCTCTGCCTTGCCCAACACCTTGACCAGCTCAGACATCAACGTGGCTATGTCCCCGATGTCCGCCGAGGCATTTTCGTGCAGCTGCTCCAGCTTGGTCACCACTCGGGTCAAGTCCTTCTCCACCGACGCACAGGCCCACGACTCGTTGTCCATTGTTGGCTCCAGTTTCGTGGAAGAAAACAAAAACCAGCCACGCCAGGTGCGTGATTATCCTCGATATCCCAGTGATTTGATAGCAAGTTTGTTGTCCGTTTTACACTTTAAAATCTCTGTGATATTCGGTGGGACAGCGGAAAATGCGTATTTATAAATTGTAAATTTTATAACACAAAGGAAAGCACAGTGTGACCTTAAGTCGATTTGCAAGAATCCCGATTTCTTAACCATAATTGCATATTTCCACCGTGGCATACCTATCGACATTTTGAATGGTCTACACTTCACTACAAATTTGACGTAGTGGAAGTCGAAACGGTAATTCAAAAAATTCTAACAAATATCCATGCTTAAAACATTTCTTGTTTTAATCCTAATATAAAACGAAAGCAATTTATTAAAATTAGTAATGATGGCAGAAGTAGCTTTATTGTTTTTATCAGGATATCTGAGAGGAGATTTTTATAAACTATCTCAACTAATTTTATTGTAATTTTTATCTTGTTTTTATTTATTTTTAAGACAATTATTTATATATATATTTTTTATTAATTATAAATTAAAAATTTATTACAAGTATGCTAATATAATGTCCACCACTGTTCCCTGAAGCAGACTGGTCCCACTGCCTCACGGTATTTCACAGCTGTTACGCGAAAAATTTGAAATGGTCCGTTTGGCAGTTCGGAAAAATCAATTATTGTTGCCACTGCTTTCTGGCAGAGAAACTTATAACGACAAACAAACAGTTTGAAATTAGCCTTAATTAGATAAGGAACGAATCTTAAATTAAACTTAGCGTGTACACCAACGAAACTGGTAAATATTAAATAAACTTTGTGTTTCGAAATGACTAGAGGAATGCCAAGGACCCCAATGTCAACGCTTCCAATTCATAATTTTAAAAATAAGTGATGAGTACACCTTTTAAACCAAACGACATTGAACCCCCTTACAATGCCGTGCCTCCAAAAATAAAAACACTAATTGGTCATGCCGAGAGCATGGAAGCTCTTGGCCCAAACACTCAACACCGAGAAAAGCATAAAAAAAAAAAAAGAAAAATCCGGGTGCCCGCTGAGATGAAGAGATGCAGCATTATAAAAGAAAATCAGCAAAGCACGGCTAAAAAGTTTTACTTTCGCCCAGTGCCATTCAGTGCGTTTGAAAGCGAAATGGAAAAGCCATAATACTCGCAAATGTGTATATTTGGCGTGTATCTCTTGGCGCTCGCGTGTGATAACAAGAGCGCAAAAGCTGCGAAATATAAAAAAAATATTAACTATATGTATAGTCACATATGTAAATATACAGTAGAGGTGATGAGAATTGTCTTTACTTTTAATTAAATAAAATAACAGCATATATTAGCCATAGGAAGTTGTTAATACAAAATAAATAAATAATAAAATATTGAGGCTGCAAAATAAATATTAACTATATGTATAGTTCACATAAGTAAATATACAAAAGAGGTGATGAGTATTGAAATTGAATAACAGAACCTATTAACCATCAAGAAGAAATATAAAATAAATAATAAAAAATATTGAATTGCTGCAAAATATAAAAAATATTAACTATATGTATAGTAACGGTAATGAGAATTTAAATAAAATAACAGAACAGGAAGAAATACAAAATAAATAAATTATAAAATATTGAATAGCTTTTTGCTTTTGTGCTAATAATAATATTTCATTTTTTTTTTTTTTTTTTAACTATTTTGAGCTATTTTTAATAAATTTAAGATTGATATATTCCAAATTGTGCCTAAAAAGTTAAGAAATAAAAAAAATATGGTTTTCAAGAATATAGGAAATTGATTTGTGAATTGAAAATAGGGAAGCTATTCTAGCTTAAAACAACACCTCTTACTTAACATCGGTTACAAGTTACCACTAATTTTCAAAGCCTTGACTTGCAAATTGGCAAAATTATCTGCCAGTTTTCTGCCAGCACATTTATGAAAAGAAAACCAAACCCTAGAATAACAATCTGTTTCTTAAAGTATTACGTTATAAACAAGCCCAAATTAAATGTTTTAAAAATATCTATTGCATTTAACAAAAAATCTGTATTTCAATGAATTCTTTCGACTATAATGTCTTAGCCGCTATCGTATATTTATGTGCTAGGAGAGAGAGCTCTCGGGCATACCGAATTCCCGGTGCAGGCCCAAGCTGCAAATCACTTTGTCGCACTCATCATCACTCGGCCCGATCCGGCCAAGACGGCGAATATAAGGGAAAATAATGCCACGACTTTTATGAGGGAAAAGCGCCGCGACGGAACAGCCGAATGGCTTTCGTCGGGTCGTCGTGTCGGGTCTGCCTCAGATCTGATCTGCGAAAATTCGCTAATAGTTTCAAAAATTTGCCTGGCCAGTTCGGGAACAACATTCAAACTTTGCGTAAGCACTCGCACCGCCCAGCCCCTGGTCCAGGAAGTGGTGTCCATAGCGAGATTGAATCGTTTTTTTGGAGAATGAGTAGCATTCAATATTATTTATGCGGACATTAATTGCGAAGAGCCCCTGTGTGTGATTTGTGATTTGTGTGTGTGCAAAGAAAAGTGAAAATAATAAAGAATTATTAGACGGGCCGAGAAGACCGAATTGCGCGAGCTAAAAATAAAAAATATCGGGACCGCTATTTATGTAATAAACTTTTTTTGTTTTCCCGCAACAATATTCAAATGTATACACACACTATGGCCAAGAATTAATGTTTGCGTGCCCAGTGATGTGAACTGAAGCGTGTAACCACATAATGGATCTATGTATCTTTCAGATAATGCTTTAAACGTACAGAATCGAAACAGCCAGCATGAGCCAAAGTCAAAGTTAACCGAAAGCTGGAACTACCACACATAGCTTGCAGAGATTTGCCACCAACGAACCAAACAGATCAGGAATACCGAAGCAGAGTTGCCTTAGGACTTAGCTTTAATAGCCACCACAGCCACACGAATCGGAAGCCCACGGTAGATCCCAATTGAATCTCAATCGAAATGCCTGCGACAGCCACGTCGAAGCAGCGCCCGTCGCACGCCACCGCCGGCGAGGAGGGCCAGATGACCCCCAAAAAGACGGCCCTGATCATTGTGACCGTCATCGGATGCATTGCCATTCTCTGGCCAAAGGTCTTCCACCCCATGATGTTCGGCGGGGTTCCGCCAGCGCCAGCGAAGCAGAATTTTAAGGATCAGCGAGGACCGGGAGGTGAGTTTTCTGATTTCTGGGTTAGAGGTAACAAAAATATAAGTTGGCTATTGTACTCTTGGGTGTTATAACCTTGAACAGAAGTCTGCTATGCATTGATCAGCATCATTAGTCCGTGTGTCTGTGTTTATTAACTTTCA